TTTTTGTTCAAACTGCTGTGGTCCAAGGCAGATGCTACACCTGGGACTGTAGCAGTTTGCGCCAGGGTGGAGCAGCCCTGGGCTGTCAGGGGACGTTGGGGGGTCAGCCCCAGGCTGGCTGGAGGGGCTGACTGGAGCATGAGTGCCCCGGCTTGTGGAGCCTCCTGTCACCTGGGCTGACTGGGCACAATGTACTCCCAGGTCAGCATTTACATGTGCAATTATTTTTGCTATTTTGTCTTTGACAGTACTATCTTATGGCAGTGAAAATTAGTTTACTGTGGTCTAATAGTGTTGCACATGTAGACTGATGCTTTACACTGTGGCAAATTAGTCTATTGCGCAGTTAAGTGCATATGTAGGTGTACCCACAGAGTGGTTTTCTGCATTTAGGGATCTAATGTCTGCCTGTGTCCCATGTTAGATTTGGATGGGATGCAGTCCTTATTTGGATCCACTCGAGTTGATGCTTTATGCCACCTTGTTGTTAGCTAAACCAGTTTCTGAATTTGAGTATAAATAAAAATTATTTCACTTCCAATGCCCAGAGCTTGTGGATATAGTATACCAGATTTTGTTCCTACCTACCTCCTCAAGGTCCCATTTATGGCAATGAGATCATATTGAGTAAGGGTTCCAAAATCAGCCCTTTGTTGGATGTGGTAGGTATCATCCTTTTTTATGGATGGAGAAAATGAGAGGTGAAATGAATTGTTTTTTCAGGGCTGAGCCAGACTTAGAAATCCCAAATTTATACAGATTCTATTACCAAGCATTTTTTTCTCAGAATTAAGGTATTAGAATGGAGAGTTGCCTTAGATATGAAAGCGTATAGCCTGTTCCAAAACATTTAAACTGTAAATCTGAGCGATAACAATACTTTGGCTAGGAAGAAGGTAGGAAAGGGTGTCATCTTTGGCTGCTTACAGACTTAAATAACAAAACAAAACAGCACTGTACTTTAAACTTGGTGTGCTCCCATGCATGCCCAGAAGAGGCAGCATGTTAGCTGGAACGGGCTTGCCCACCATCTGTATAGATTGGATGCTTTAGTGGGGCTTTTTTGGTGCTTTTATGTAATAGCTGATTGAATTGACTTTAGCTAAAAATGGCAAAAAACCCTACTGAAGTGCCCAGTCTTTATAGACACTGAAGAGCTGAGTCAAACCAACACACTGGTTCTTCCGGTAAAACAGTTTGTTTTTGTTTTTGTTCTTTTTAAATGTCTGGCAGCAACCTTAGAGACTTAGTTCAGAAAGGCATGAGTTTTTATAGGCAACAACCTAGCTCATTAGATGCTAGGAATTTGATGAAGTAGCATGTTGTCTACAAAAGCTCATGCCTCTGAACTAGTTAGATTCTCAGGGTGCCTATACATGAGCAGTGAGGCTGCTCCAATGCATTGGAATTCCAGTGTGTTTGAGCAGACTTGATTAACTGCTGCAGTTGCTGTGCTCCAGCAACCTCCAGTGTCTCATGTATCATTTCATAGACTTTCATAGACATCAGGGCTGGAAGGGACCTTGGAAGATCATCGAGTCCAGCCCCCCGCCCAAAGGGCAGGAAGTCAGCTGGGGTCATAGGATCCCAGCAAGATAAGCATCCAGTTTCATCTTGAAGGTGTTCAATGAAGGCGCTTGAACCACCTCCGGTGGCAGGCTGTTCCAGACCTTGGGGGCTCGGACAGTAAAGAAATTCTTCCTTATGTCCAGCCTGAAACGATCTTGAAGTAGTTTGTGACCATTCAACCTCATTTTCACAGCACGATTTTAACCTGGGGCAACTGCCCCTAGTCCCATTGTCTCCTCCTGCACATTGACACCCCTGAGAAACTTGTAGGTTGCCATCAGATCACCCCTGAGCCTGCGCTTTTTCAGGCTAAAGAGCCCCAGGGCTCTCAGCCTGTCATCGTAGGGTCTGTTTCCCTGACCTCTGATCATGCGCGTGGCTCTTCTCTGGACTCTCTCAAGCTTCTCCACATCCTTTTTGAATTGTGGAGCCCAAAACTGGACACAGTACTCCAGCTGCGGCCTCACTAAGGCCGAGTACAGGGGGAGAATGACGTCCCGGGATTTGCTTGAGAAGCATCTATGGATGAAAGCCAGCGTTTTGGTCGCTTTACTAGCCGCCGCATCGCATTGCAGGCTCATGTTCATAATGATGAAGGAAAGTAAGCAGTCTTTCTGGAAATATAGTTTCCAGATCAGCATGTGCTATGCAAAAAATAAAATTAAATTAAAATTGGCATTACAACATTATTCATAGCGAAACACAAAGAATGTGCCACATTCTGGTAGACATAAAATATGTATTAATTCTTACTGTGGTCCCAATTCCATTTTTTAGCTACTTTGACTGGTATTAGAATGGCATTGCATTAATGGTATTGCATTATTTATGAGAATTTAAAAGGTTAGATTTTTTTAAAGGGGAGCAAAACTGTCTTCATACTCAACTCTACAGAGAAATGTTCAGATTTTAAATGGTTGTGAATTATTATAAACAGCTAAGCCTAACAATCTGGTATATATCCATGATTCTTAAAATTTCTGAACCAACTACAAATAAAGTGTTAGCCAGGCTTTAAATAAAACACTTTATGCCATACTTAGTGTTTTTTTTTTCCCCCACCCCTTGGAAATATGAAGCAGGAGAGTACAAAAAAAAAAAAAATGTAGTATTTATTAACAGAAATTATAGTAACAGAAACATACTTTAGACTTGGAAGAAACACAAATATTTCCCTTTTTATACTCTTTCCTAGCCCAAAAAAAATATAAATCAAATTAATGAGAAAGCAATGATTTAAAATTACAATTGACATCATCTGAATGGGGAAGCAAGGATGCCACTGTGGGCTGGGGCTGTGCTGGGCTCTTCCCAGTGTAGGCTGGGCTGGGCTACACTGAGGGCTGACAGTGGCAGTGCTGGGAGGGGAGGTTATGGGGGTGGAATATGGGGAATTTTTAGGTGGCTGCCACCGCCCACCCCAAGTGCAGTGTAGCCCAGGCCCTTCGGGAAATGGCCTGGCCCAGCCCTAACCTCAGTCCGCAGTGGTATCCCACCCACCCCACCCAGATCTGAGGGGCAGGGGTCCAATGTTGTCCCTGCTTTTCCTCCGGCTCCCCACATATCTGAAAAAGGACTTTTTATTGTCCTTGATGCTCAAAGCTAGCTGGAGTTCAGTTGCAGCCTTGGCTTTCCTGGTCTGCTCCCTACAGGACCGGACCAGTGCAGAATAATCCTCCTTGGAGGTGACTCCCATCCTCCATCCTTTGTAGGCCTTTCTTTTTAGCATCCCCACACTTAAAAATGGTGGCAGGGGTGCTTGAACAAAACCTTATAAAATGAGCTTTGGTTAAAGCATCCCTGCTGCCATTTTTAAGCATGAGGATGCTGATATATGATATGCTGCAGCACTTTAATTAGACAGGCTGGCAGAGCTGCTCTAATTAAAGCGCTGCCCTCCCCACCCCCGGAATAGGTGTAAAACTGTCTTAAGGTGCCACTGTCTTAAGGTGCCACTGTGCCCTACCTTCTGCCTAATTAATATAGCTAACCATCTTCATACGTGGCCAGGTGAATCAGCTTCTGGAGTGCCTTAAACCTCACCCCACTGATTGTCCAGAAAATGAAAAGCAGATCAAATTTGGTCATTTTGTTGAAAAATTACAAGACATGGATAAACTGCCTGCCATATTTTTAATGTAAGTATGTAGATTCAATATGTTCTAATATATATTTTTGTTAGAGTTGAAATGATAGGTATTGGCGATAAGTATTGATATGACTCAGCAAAAAGTAGTGTCATTTATTTACAAGAGTCATTATTCACCTATGTTAGGTATGAATATTTATTGTTTAAAACATTTAAAGTAAGTGCTCACCTTGTGAGGCATCTTCAGCAGTCCCTTCCTTCCTTCACTTCTATAAGATGTTAAAAAGTCTAATTGAAGTAAATTGGAACCATTTTGTTACTGTGTCTGAAAAGTCAGAGTTCTTCATGCAAGAATCACAAAGATTAAAAGAAAGGTTAAAATTAACAAAGTGAACCAAACTGAAATATGAGTTCTAATTCTCAGCTGATTTTATCTTATGCTGTCACTTGCATCTGTACATAAATTGAAAACTACTTGTGTACTCATTTTTTTGCTTATATGGTCGAATTCAGCAAAGCATTAAGCAGATGATAAACCTTAATCATATAAGTATTCTCACTGCCAGTACTGCTTACTGTTCCTATACTTATAGTTAAGTATAGGCCTAAGTGTTTTGTGTAATAGGGATGTACTTCTAAAGAGTGAAATGAACCAACAAATTACAATTACAGGCACTCCTCGGACTTATGACACAATTGGTTCCTGAAAACCACATCTTAAGTCAAAACGTTGTAACTCGGAACCAATTTTCTCATAAAAAACAATGTTATAAATGGGAGATTGGTTCCTGAACCAAGGCCTTATACCCTATTTTCACCAAAAATACCCCAGAATTTTGTACTCGATGAATTATAGATGAGTAATATAGCTACATTAATATATTTATATTGTAAATAGCAATCATGTTGATTTGGAAAGACTTCTTTGAGGTGACTTTGCTGGACTTTTTGAAGGGTTCTTGGTTGGACTTTTTGAAGCTGGAGTCTTCTCAGGAGTCTTGGCTGTAGGTTTTTCTGGAGTCTTGTCTGTTTTCTTAAAGAAAGTGTCCAAGGAAGTTTGGACAGATATTCTCCAGGAAGATGAGTGACGCAGTGAACTTGTTTGCTGGCATGGCATTGCATGCCAGCAAACATTCAAGTGTTGTAGTCGAAACTGTAAAGTTGAAACAGGGTGTCAATTTACAATGTTCGCACTTACAACATTTATAACTCGAAACTGCCTGTATATTCAAAAGTTGAACTTGTAAAAGTAAACATGAGTATCTTATATCTAATAAATATCTTTATCAGAGTTCACTAATCTTAATAGATATTTACTACAACTTATTTATTTTAAGGTTTAACACTCATTCAGTAGAAGACCTGGCCATCCAAATAAATAGAAATTTGATAAGAAAAGAAATGAGGAAGAAAGATCCAAATATTGAGAGAGAAATAGGAAATTTAAGAACTAAACTGAGAAAAATGAATAAAATGGATAAAAACTTGGAGACTCGCCCATCTATGTAAGTATTATTAACATATGTTACTTGTTAGTATTCAGATGCTCCAGGCATGATTGTACTAAGATGCTATTTACACAGAGCATGTGCATGAGTTTCTGCCTCAGAATTCATAATTTAAAGGGAAGGCATAACCAATAGAAGTAGCAAAAAGACAAGTATGATGGTTAAGGTAAAATGATAATAATGATAGGACACATTATTGCATGGATGAATCCACAGACTATTTTGCACACTTAATTAAAAGACATTGAAAACTTTTAAAATATAATATGTAAACAAAGATAAGACCAATGCTACTAAGAGTTACATTTTAATTTCATGTGTAAAAAATGAAGAACTGAGGCTGTCTAGTGCTCTTCAAATGTGGGGTTGTTCTGTACGTTTTGTTCTCAAGGGCATTACTCTGCTTAATTTATCTATCTATTAGATTTATAGCATACCCCAAGCTGTGATGGCTTCCACTATTTCCTTTGGAAAACTCTACCTAGTATATAAAACCTTATTGTTTATATCCTTGAAGTACTAATGCTAACTAGACTATTTGTCACTCTTTAACCACTAGACAATCAGTAGTGCTGGGTAATTTGCATGATAAGAAACCCAGGCATGTCCAAACAATTCTTGTTTGAGTCCTCTAAATCAACTCCAAACTTTTTAAATTCAGGTAATGGAAAATGCTGTATTATGTTATTATATACATTTCATTACATAATGTCTGATCACAAAAATTGTACACTCCAAATGTGAGATCCTCATCCTTGGTCTGGCCCCTTTAAAATGACTCTACTAGTATAAAGAGGCTATAAGTGCTTTGGATAACTACAGGGGGATTCTTTTAGTTACAAGCATTATAGCAGATAAGGCTACTTTTCAAATACTTTCTTGAAAACAGTAGCACAGAGATTCTGCTGGAATGTAATGGGTCATACAAATGCCACAAATGGTGGAAAAGGCTAAAAAAAAATGGCAAGTGCTCTCAGTCCCTCCTAGTTCAGCTGTCCTATGTGTCAGGTGCTAAAATGGAGAGAGAAAGGTTGTATTACTGGGGAGATGCAGTATGATATAGGAGGGAAGTTGGTTGGTTCCAGTGGCAGGTTCTGGAGTAGGGAGAGCAAAATATAGTTAGTCTTTTCAACCTATGTCAACTGTGAAATTTGATTTGAATGAATAAAATGGTGCCTGGGAAGAAGGATCTGAAAGATTGGATGTGGCAAGAAGCCTTTTATGGGCTAGAGTGTTAGGCTAGTTCATCAGATCGGGTAGGACTGCAGCATGCAGTGCTGTAGCCATATGACACTCAGGGGTGGCTTCTGTAATGCTGCTAGGCCATCTTCACTGATGTGATGCTGTTTCAAAGATTTTCTTCTTTGCTCCAAATATACCTATATTTGAGAATAGTTTGTCCTTTGCCATCTTTTCTATCTTGAACTTGATTATTCTTGTGAAACAAATGGCCAGATTTTTAAATGTATTTATATAACTAAAGATGTAGATAAACGACTGGTAAGACTTCCAAAGATATCAAGCTGCCATCGTTGTATACCTCTCCCTAGCGTATACTCGGCAGTGTAAAAATTTCAGGATCTGATGTATTCCTCAAATACAACATTCTATCAAGAATAACACCTACTATGACATGGTAGTGGAAGAATGATGTTTTGCCCTAAGAATCCTAAGATGATTTATTCACCATTGGTATCAAGGAAAATGAAGACTTTCTGGATAGGGGCTAGTACTGGAGAGGCTAAAGGGAAAAATGGGAAGTTGCAGTGTGTAACCACTAGGGGCACCTATATATGTGATGAATCTCTGCCCGGAAGCTTGCTAATTAGCAAGTCAGAGCAGACTCGATTAATTGAGTCTCCTGTGAGTCTGCTGGAGAGTGCTAATTAACGCGTTTCAACAGCCTCTGGTTTACATGTATTCAGTGTCCCCACGTTCCAAAATGGCAGTGGGGCACTTTAACTAAAGCTTGTCAAACAAGCTTCAGTTAAAACATCCTTGCTGCCATTTTGAAGCATGGGACACTGAATACATGTGATGCTGCAAGCATTTTAATTAGAGTGGCTCTCAGAGCCACTTTAATTAAAGCACCCCCCCTCCATCCTGGAGCACATGTGTAAACGCCCTAGAAGGAAAGTCCCTAGAATTGAAGAACAGATTGAAGTCAGAAACCACTTTCAGGCACTCTGTGGTGGAACACCTGAGGAAAAGGCAGAGGTGAGAATATTAGCAGGTAATACCCAGAGGACTCAGCAGAAAGTGCAGGGTCTCAGGGTCTAGGCAGCAGGAAGTGCAGGGGCATACATTTTTCTTTTGGAAGGGCAGGTGCTAACAAACTTTAAATGGGGTGGACAGGTAAAAAAACTCAAACTCTTTTAACCAATGTGAAGTTTATTTTTTAATTGACAAAGCAAGATTAATAGTAAAGCAAAAAGCTTAATCTTATGGGACTGGTCTTAACTGCTGTGAAGTGAAGCTGGCCAGGCTTTCAATCTCTGTCAGCAGGGGTTTGTAAAGTGATTTGGTGGGTATTGTGTAGCAATACCCACCAAATCATCCTCACCCTAGGTGATGTCCAGTATTATGGCTGGCTGGTAAGTATGATTTCAGTATTCTAATACCTAATTCCCGATTGGTTGTATTTATATTTCTTTGTTTCACTTTAACTTTTTAGAACTGGATTTAAGTAGATTTTTTGTGGACCTGGAAGGTGTCAGTTAGTTGAGATTTATGTCCTTGGAAAAGCAGGAGGATTCCTTATGTCCCATGGTGCCTCCTGAGTCTGGGGGTGCACCAGATCACTGACAGAGGGCGGGTATCTCCCAGGGTCCAGTCGCTGCCTGGGGGGTGAGGGGGGGAGTCCAGTTTCTCCAGCTGGGCACTTCCAGTTTCGCAGCTAGAGCTTCTAGGAGGTGCGTGGCTGATCTCAGGGCTGTGCTCAGGGCCATGTGCACCCCCCTATGCATCACCAATGTTATGTCCTTTTCCTTTCTGTTGTGGAATGCTGTTAACACTGGTATGTTACCTCTCCACTTTAGCTTATGGTTTGAAAAGGCTGCTTTGTTTTACAACTAGGGGTGCACTGATAGAGATTTTTGGGGCTATACCAATAGCCAATTCTTAAGGAGGCATATCGGCTGATACTAATCCTATTTCTGATATGCAGCCTAGCAGCTTAAAGAGCAGTGTGTGGCTGGTAAGTCTGTTGTGGTGGAAGGGAAGGCGGGGGGCAGATCGAGGTCTCTGTGGTGAGGGATGGAGTGAGGCTGGGGCAAGGCCTGGGGCAGGTGCTGCCCAGCTGGGGTGGGGAGGGGCACAGGATGGAGCCGCGGCTCATTCAGGAGGCGCAGAGAGCGGGGGTGGCTCCCGCCACTGTGTACACCCCAGGAAGGCATAGGGGCATGTGCCCCCAGATCTGCATGGGGCAGGCTGGGGCCAGGGCTGCACCAGGCTCTTCCTGGTGGGGGCTGGGCCAGGCTGCACCTGGGGTGGGTGGCAGCTGCGCTGGGAGAGGGGTCATGGGGGGGCTGCAGCTGCCCCAAAATTCACCCTAGCCCCCACTAACTCCCCCTCCCAGTGCTGCCGCCCACCCCCCCTGGCCCTGAGCACAGCCCGGTCCACCCAGCCCCTGCCAGGAAGAGCCTGGTGCAGCCTTGGCCCCAGTCCTCAGTTGTAACCCACCCCACCCAGTGCAGATCTGGGGGGCACATGCCTTCCTGTGTCCTCCTGGGGTACGCACAGCAATGGGAGCTGCAGCCCCCTCTCTACCCCCCCAGATGAGCTGCGGCACCACCCTGTGCCCTGCACCCTGCCCCACCCCAGTTGGGCAGTGCCTGCCCCCGCCCCAGCTCCAGCCCCACTCCCTCCCTCACCGCTGGGGTCTTGATCTGCTCCCCCACTCCTCTTCCCTCCCCCCTCCACTTCCACCACAGCAGACTGACCAGCTGCACACAGCTCTCCATGCTGCCGGGCTGCACTCCTCCTTTTGTGCATGCATGGGCCATTTATCGGCCACATCAGGCCGATTTTCTAATACAGTCAATTTTCTTTATATCAGTGCTGATCCGATATTGGACCGATGTATTGGTGCACCTCTATTTACAATTTATCTAAACATTTTAACAAAAATACATCTGTTATAGCAAAATTACATTCAATACATTTGGTTACAGAAATTACTATTTCTAATTTTTATAAGATGAATACTAGCATATTGAGTATTTGGATTATTTGATGTATGGTTCTTCCTTATGGTGTTTCTTTTTAGTAGGGTCACCATATTTCTAGTTTCAAAAAAGAGGACACCTGTGGGGGTGGGGGGGAAGGGGGAGGAGGTATGTGATTGTCGGGGACACAGTGATATGCCCTTCCACCACCTCCCTGCCCTGCTGCAACCCCAGAACTGGCAGTCATGCACACATGTACGCATACACACATACAAACTAACCTGCCTGCAGCTGCTGGGACCACTCACAGAGCACATGATGCCCCGGCCTCCAATCACCTTTCCCTGCTGCCCCCAGACCCAAGCAGCTCATCACTGGGGCCAGGAAAGAGGGGGCAGAGCAAAATCCTAGACATTTGCTGATATTTTAAAAAATTGCCCAGGTCGAAATAGGAGGACCCAGAAAGAGGACATGTCTGGGAAAACCCGGACATATGGGAACCCTATTTTTAGGCCTTGTGCTTTGCTTGATTGTGTCCAACTAAGCATATGAATGGCTTTCTCTGCTGTGCTAAGCAAGCCAGCTGTTGCATCTGCAAGGGAATATGCTACAGTCACTTAGACACAGGCTTTTTGAGGCCTTTTGCTTTTAGCTATACTCCTGCAGCTTTGCCTTGGATCTCTTGAAAAAGAACAGACCTGGCACCAACACATAACTTTGGCCTACACAGGCTTGGGAGAAAAGGTATTGGCTTTGCTTTGTATGTCAAAAATACATACATTTTTTCTCTGGTTCAGAAGGAAGAAGGTGGCAGATCAGAATGCATTTGGGTGAAGGTAAAAGATACAGTACTGATACAGAGATTGGTGGGGATTTGTTATAGGCCACCAAGTCAGGAAGAAGTGGATAAGGTACTCTTCAAAAAAATGTCACCATTATCCCAAAGGTATGAGATGGTACTGATTGGAGACTTCAGTGTTCTGGACATTTTCTGGAAGAACGTTAGTGCCAAACATAAAATGTCAAACAAGTTCCTAACTTGTGGGGAGACAACTTAATATTCCAAAATGTTGAGGATACATCTATCTTGGATCTTGTCCTGACCAATAGAGAAGAATTGATGGAGGATATGAAGGTGATGGGAAACTTGAAAGGAATTGATCACAATAGAATTCATGATCCTGAAACTGGGAAAACATGAGATCGCTAGATTTAAAAAAAGGTGGATTTCAGTGGACTCAACTGGTTTGAAAAACACAAGCAAAGGGTAATTATAGATGGATCCATGTCAGAATGGCAGGAGGTTTCAAGTGGAGTCTGACAGGGGTCTGTCCTAGGCTCCATGCTGTTCAATGTGTTTATTAATGACTTGGATGCTGAAATGTAGAGCTTCTTGGGCAAATTTGCAGATGAATTAAATTGGGAAGGATCACAAACATGTTGGAGGCTGGAAGTGCAATTCAGAAGGATCTTGACAGATTGGAAAGCTGGACTGGAACTAACTGGATGAAGTTCAGTGCTGACAAATGCAAGGTGCTATACCTTAGAAAGAATAATCAAAAACATGACTATAAAATGGATGACACCAAGCTTAATGGCAACACTATAGAGAAGGATCACAGACTTGTTAGATTACAGACTCATTCAACATGAGTTTGCAGTATGATGCAGCTGCACAAAAGGCAAATGATTTTGAGCTGCAGCAATAGAAGCATTAGGTGTGAGACATGTGAGGTGATAGTACTTCTTTACTTGGCACTAAGTAGGCCTCATCTAGCATATCGTGTACAGTTTTGGGTTCCAAATTTCAAAAAGGACATCCATAAGTGAGAGAGGGCCCAGAGGTGACTGTGGCATCAGTGCCTCCACAGTCAGATGGATTGCTAATTGGCTGAAGGGTCGTACTCAGAGGGTGGTGGTGGATGGGTCATATTCGACCTGGGGGGAAGTGGGCAGCGGAGTCCCCCAGGGCTTGGTCTTTGGGCCCGCACTGTTCAATTTCTTAATCAGCGATTTGGATGACGGGGTGAAAAGCAACCTGTTCAAATTTGCTGATGATACCAAAATTTGAGGTGAGGTGGGCACGCTAGTAGGGAGGGAAAGACTGCAGAAAGACCTGGATAGGCTGCAAGGGTGGGCTAACAAAAACAGTATGTGTTTCAATACGGACAAATGCAGGGTGCTGCACTTGGGCAGTAGTAACCGGCAGCACACTTATAAGATGGGAAACTCCCTTCTTGAGAGCACGGAGGCAGAAAGGGATCTTGGAGTCATCATTGACTCCAAGATGAACATGGGCTGACAATGCGAGGTCACGGTCGGCAGAGTTAACCCTATCGTGCATCCACAGATGCATCTCAAGTAGGGCCAAGGAAGTGATCCTCCCCCTGTATGCGACACTGGTCAGGCCACAGCTGGAGTACTGTGTCCAGTTCTGGGCACCCCACTTCAAGAGGGATGTGGACAACATTGAGAGGGTCCAGAGGAGCGCCACCTGCATGATCCGGGGACAGCAGGGCAGACCCTACAGTGAGAGGCTACGGGACCTGAACCTGTTCAGCCTTCACAAGAGAAGGCTGAGGAGGGACCAGAAGGGTTTGGGGGAGACCTTGTTTCCCCTAGCGCCCCCCGGGATAACAAGGAATAACGGCCACAAGTTGTTGGAGAGTAGGTTTAGATTAGACATCCATAGGAACTACTTCACAGTTAGGGCGGCTAGGATCTGGAACCAACTTCCAAGGGAAGTGGTGCTGGCTCCTACCCTGGGGGTCTTTAAGAAACGGCTCAATGCCTACCTGGCTGGGGTCACTTGAGCCCAGTTTCCCTCCTGCCCAGGCAGGGGGTCAGACTTGAAGATCTACAAGGTCCCTTCCTACCCTACTTCTATGATTCTATGACAAAAATGATAAAGGGCCTGGAAGGCCATTTGTATGAGGGGAGGTTAAAAGAATGAGATGTTCAGCTTGTGGAAAAGGCACTTAAGACGGGACATGATAGTAATCTTTAAATGTCTGAATGGCTGCCATAAGGAAAAGGGAGAACCCCTTTTCTCTCTTCCTGCAGACAGTAGGATTCTTGAAGTTGCAGTAAAGTAGGTTTAGATTGGGTATCAGAAAAAGGTTCTTTATTATTAGAACAGTAAGGCAATGCAATAGACTACCTAGGGAAGTTGTAAAATCTCCATAGTTAGAAGAGTTCAAGAAGAGGTGTTGGACAAGCATTGGTCAGGAGTAATCTAGGAGTAGCTATGAGTCTTTCCCAAGCTTCCAGGTTTTGCTGGTTGCCACTTGGAATTGGGACGGAATTCCTTCCCCTCCTTTTGCCACATCAGGTTTTTTCCCCCTCTTTTTTTGTCCTTTCTTAGAAGCATTGGGGGTTGGCTGAAGCCAAGTCTGGTGGTTTTTGTGTACCAGTACTTATGCTGGGACTCAAAGGGCATTTATATACTTGCTCTAGGAATTAGGGAGTACGGGGGTGCTTTAATTAGAGTGACTCTGAGAGCTGCTGTAATTAAAGCACCCAGAGCATCTTGTGTATCAGCATCCCTGCACTAAGAAATGGTGGTGGGGGCATTTTAACTGAAGCTCATCAAATGAGCTTTAACTGAAGTGCCCCCACCGCCATTCTTCAGCATGGGGACACTGATACACGAGATGCTGACGTCTGCTGGAACATGGTAATTACCACACTCCAGCAGACTTGATTAATCGCCCAAAGGTTCCTATCTAGAGGGTTTTACCCCATGGTCAGATTGGTACAGATTGTGGGGGTTTTTGCCTTCTTCTGTTGTGGAGGGCATGGCCCTCTTCCTTGGATCTCTCCAGTGTATTTTAAAAGCCTTTGCAGCAGCAGGACATTGGCCATCATTGTCCTTGCTGTACTTGTGGCAGGTTAGGGTGCTATGTTTTCTGGTTTTATCTGTGTTGATTGTGTAGTTTTACTAAAGGTTAGACAGTGGATTTGTATAGGATGGTTTGGATAGGGATGATCCTGCCTCTAGTGAGAGGTTGAACTAGATCACTTCTGAAGGTCCCTACTCACCCTACTCTTCTATGTCTCTATGAAAAAAAAGCAGCAAGGGAGGACACATCCACCTTTTGCATTAATTATCCTTCAGTGGTACAAGCATGGTGGAATAGAATCACAGTCAGGAGTCTAAGTCTGGACCAATATGCACCAAATAGCTGGAACATAAGCTGGTCCCAAAAGTATTATACTCAAGAACTCTATTGGACTTACAGTTTTAAATAACTTTGTATGTATGTTCCATACAGTAACTCAAAAAGACAGATGACTGCCACCAGTAAAGTAGAAAACACACAAGAAAAACAACAAATACAGAAGAGACTTGAAAATCTTACTGAAATCCCTCCAGACTGTACTTATGCTAATTCTAAAGCTGTGGATAAACAAGTGAGTAATTCACTGTTCAAAAATATAGCTTGCTTTTGCTTTAGACCAGTGGTTCTTAAACATTTTAGACTAAAGGCACCTCTCCATAACTTTTCAGAATTCAGTGACATGACATTTCAAGCATAAATATAAATATCGTATTAATATTACTGTATTAATACATCACAATTATATAATTAATAATATGGTATTGAGACTAGAATAAAATGGAATATTCACACCTTCAGGCTGCTGGCCTGCTCTGCCCAGCCTCATCACATTTGCTCCTTGTCAATGGCTCCAGGTCACCACTGTCCCACCCCTATCAGCCCCCATGCCAGCCACCCTGCATTCTGAGTAGCTCATGCTGCTGTGGATAGGTCAATTTCTAGCCTTAGTTCACCCCTGAAATCCAGCCCTGCACTGTAATGGACAGAGTCTGGGGACAGTCAACTGGCAGGGACAAGGAGCTGCTATGTGGGTGGCACTTAGGAGATCAGAGAAGTACTGTGCATAGGCAACAAGATACACAAGGCCAAGGAAAGGGGGAGGGGCAGGCCAAGGGGCATCTGCCCAGTTGCTTCAGTGATACTGGGCATGTCTACACGTGCATTAGTTAATGTGCATTAAATATAGTATCTCTGGGTGTTTTTACATGTGCTCCAGGAGTGGGAGGAAGGGCCCTTTAATTAGAGCGGCTCCAAGAAATGCTTTAATTAAAGCACCTGGAGAATCTCATGTCTCAGCATCCACTCATCAAAAGAGCTTTAGATAAAGTGCCTCTGCCACCATTTTGAAGCGTGGGGACGCTGATACACGAAACATGGAGGCTGACTGGAGCATGGTAATTACCATGCTCTAACAGACCTGATTAATCAAGTCAGCTACAATGCGCTGTAATTACAGCTTCACTTCAGACAATACTATTTCAGGACTTGAATTAAAGTGACTTACGGGAAAACCTTATGGGTAGAACCACAGTCCTGGGATGGATAGCAGTAGTGGCGAAATTTCAGGGTGACAAGTTACTTGTGTAGAGTTCACTTAGGAACTGTAACAATAGCACACTAGATCAGACACCTGTAGTGTGGAGAGATGAGTGGCCATCACCTTCTGGAAACTTGCTGTCCCAGTTACTACCAGTTATTAGCTGGCCAGTTTATTTTGGTCGATTAATTGCTGGGGCCAGGTGCCTAAAAGCAACAGTTTTGGACTACTTTTGAATTCAATGATGACACAGGTACTTCACATTAGTGGAATAAGGAGAAAAATGTGGAGCAGAAAGAAAATGATCAGGTTATACAGATTTATCATTTTCACTTGCAATGCTTAAATGGCTGTGATTAATACTTATTTTTTCTGTATGTCTCTAGACCTTGATGAAGATCTTTTTGACATTGAGATATGAGAGAAAAGCTTCTGAACAGAAGGACTTGGCACAGAGGGGTATTGGATATCATCATGCTTCTATGACCCTCAAAAGAAGACAAGTTGTGGAAATGCTTTTCAGAATGGGATATATCCGGGTTGGTGAATGATGATCATTGTTATTGCCAATTGAGTTTTTAAAAAATGAACATTTTTATTTTTAATTACATCTGTTTTAAACACAGCTTGACACTCATTCATATTTTTAATCATTTTCACTTTTTATAGTAGAATATATTGCATTTGATTTCCCGGCATTAATTTGATAGCTCCTAAATTGGAAAAAAAAATCAGTAAATTGGTTGATATAGAACTTTTATTAAGACTAAATTTTACCATCTTGATGAATAGGACTTTAAATCAGCGAACTCTAAACACACACACACACACACACACACACACACACTTCAGCGAAAGAAAATGTAAAGTCATTTCTGATTCTCTGCTCTTAAATCCGTTGGTGAAACATTATTCCCATTACAACTTGTTACTGGTAACTTTTAACTGATGTATTTGTCTTTGACTTTTTTTCTAGGTGGTCACAGCTACGTCAACATTGGCCTTGGGCATCAATATGCCATGTAAATCTGTTGTCTTCTCTGAAGATTCTGTCTATTTAGATGCTGTAAATTATAGACAGGTATCAAAATATACCACATATCTTTTGCACAGTATGTGTAGTACACCCATGCTCTTCATCACACACAAGGGCAAAACATATTTTCAGATGTGTTCCTATGTATACTCTGAGCCACCTAGTGATGTTAGTGTCAAAAATAAGTTTTTACTATTTGATACTCTCATTAGCAATGTAATATTGTCAGTTTCCAAATTACAAGATCAACTGAATTCCTTTTTGAGTCTTCAACAGAACTGCTTATGCCTGTGCAAACCAATGGAAGATATTTTAGGTATACTGAGGGAATAAAGACATAACTGACAGAGGAGTGCAGCTGTAAATTAAAACATAATTTGGCCTGTAGAAGCTTTATTAAAAGTGGTGGCATGTGAAAAAGAATGTCCAGTCAGATTTATTTTGAATGACTGATATTAAAGAAAAAAGATCTCATAACCTGTTTTTATTCATTTAGAAGTATAATACATTTAGCAACAATGTGGAATCCTACAGTGACCTCTATAAAAACAAATATACTTTTAAAAATATTTTGGGACCCTTTGGCAAGAGAGGTACAAAGTAACTTCATAATCATAATGATATAAGTTTAAGGGACCATAGGGGGAAAATACTTTGTGATGTGTAGTTATTGTTTGGGTGACAAGGAAACTGGCATTATAGACAATTGTATTACCTGACTGTATCCTTCTTAAGATCTGTTTAAGAATTTGCATTGTCTACCATCATAATTCTTTAAGTGCTTTTGTGCCAAAGATGCCGGGGATGGAAGCACTATATAAAAAACTTAAATAAATAGAATAGAATTTTTGTGAAATACCAATTTTCAATTTTTGCCAATAAACCCTTTTTAGATGTCTGGCCGTGCTGGAAGACGTGGACAAGATTTGATAGGAAATGTGTTCTTCTATGATATTCCAATGCCAAAGGTTGAAAAACTTATAAAATCCAATGTGCCTCAACTGAAAGGCAATTTCCCTTTTAGTATGTCCCTGGTGCTGAGACTCATGCTGTTGGCAGCAAAAGCAGATGACAAAGTGGATGCCAAAGCAACGGTATGGGAAATTTGGTTTTTAAACACAAAAATGTTTGTATTAATTTCATTAAATCTCGGTTCTTTCCTGGAAGCAATTAGCTGTATGTTGTGAACACAAACAGTCTGACACCAAACAAACTATAAATTCTCTTAAAACAGAGACTGATAGGGTATTTCTGCATGGCACAATACAGCCCACAAATACCCACTGGCTGCATCCAGATGAGTGTGGACATGTGATATGTGGAGCTCACATGCAGGCATTCCCCATGCTGCTACCTTGCGGGGTGGGGGGTGGTGGTGGGGTGGTTTGACCTAAGAAAATCCTGAGGTGAAAAAAACCCACGCGGAAAAAAGTGGAGTGGCACACATGGCGGCAGCGTGTGCTGCCCAAAACTGGAGCCTGGCCAGCTGGAGCTATGCTACAGCTGCCATCCAGGCTTCCTGCCGCAGCTGTAGCCCCAGGGGACCACCAAGACCCCAGATAAGGCTGCTGGAGCCAGCACAGTTGTTGGTCCCAGCCTCCTGTACCTGACTTGGGGTAACTTGCTGTGTGCCAGAGTGCACATGGCATGGGTATTCCCTGGGGACAAGTAGCAGTGGCACAAGGTGTGCCACTGCTACTTGTCCCTGGGAAAACAAATAGGTTTCCATACTTCTGGGATTGCATTTTACTCAGGAAGCTGATTCTGCCTCCCTTCAACTAATTTGTCTGGTAAAGCTGCATGGGGCTTGCTGCATGTTTACTCTGCCTTTTATTGTTAATGTTAATTTTACTTACGGGAACAATCTGGTATGATTTGATTTAGGATTTCAGGTACAACTGAGGAAATGGCATGAGCAGAAGGGAGGATGGGAAGTTTTGTGGTATCTGAGTTGCTGAGGTAGATGGGACACTACCTTACTCAACAATGAGAAAGTAAAATTAATCTTTTAAAAGAAATATCATGATGATACAAGTCTATGTCCTACTCAAAGCTGTTTAACGGAACAGATCTCCTGGATGAAGGATTGTCATGGGGGCAGTCTCTCTGGTTATCGCTGTTTACGTAAATGACCCATGGCCATGCTAGTTATGGACTAAGGGTTGCCTCTTACCCATAGTTGCATTTCTGCACATTGAACTGTCAGACATGTCTCTAATTGATTTTTATGTTTATATTAACTTCACTAGTGAATGTTAAATTCTACAATTTTTTTAAATGTTTAAAATAGGGGGAAAAAATTAATCTCCATTCAAAAGGCAGGGCAGGGTGGCACTTGGTCAGAGGCAAAAGCTTTCACAAGCAACCTCTCTGAACTAGTTAATGTCTACAGTCCCAACTTGTCCCACCTTCTGCCCAACTTCAGACTAATACAGGTAACTTTTTCTCTCCTTTCAATCAAAGGAAACTTTGAACCCACTATTTAAAATAATAACATAAGCCTACATATTAAAAACATTAAACATGGTGTTCCCTTAGCAATGTGTGCAATATGTTCAGTTTTAAAATGTTTTCAGCTGTTTTGAAACTGGTTTATGTGCACTGAACTTCTGTTCTGTTACAGGTTTAAACCCATTTCTGATCACTTAAACTGGTTTATGTGTAACTTCTGTCCCTAGCCCATATGTGCTACACACTGAAAGGATACAATTTAGGCACCCTTGTTCAGTGCAGTGTCCCTGTGGTATAAACATGCCCTAATTTTCTTTGCTTATTTGGGACACAAGTTCCCCTCCCTACCTGCAATTTTTTTATTTTTCTTTTCTTTTTCCACAGGTGCTATCAGTGTTGAAGCATCCATTGATATCCTTCAAACAACCAAGGCATAATGAAATGTTAAAAATATATGTCATCTTTTCTCTGCAGTTTCTTCTCAAAGAGGTAAACTTCCATTCTGTCTGGTTAAGAGAAAATAACTGTAGTAACACTCAGTGATCTTATTTAATTAAACAGTACTAGTGATAAACCCGGAAATCTCACAAGCTGTACTGTAGTTAGCTTGTGAGATTAACTACCTAACACTCAGGTAGTTACAGTACCATTCATTTTGTGTTCCACCATAGATAGCATTCAGGCACTAGTTTAAAAAAATGAAGACGAGAAGAGAGGAAAATAGCCCTTTAAAAAAAAAAAGTAGTCTGCCAATCCCTAAACTTACATTAAGATTGTTCAAGTTTTGAAAAAAAGGAAAATGGGAGAGTAGTAACCTTATTGCATGTATAAGTACGATCAAGAATAGAATACAACACCAAATATCTGATATGATATCTGTCCCTGTGACTTGCTAAAATTGCACACATAAAAAGTGAGTTTCTGAACTTTCTATAAATGGAAAGAACTATGAATAAATAAGTTTATTAAAATTACATTCTTAACAAAATTCATAATACAACTGTTAAGGACTAAACAGGAATTGCTACAGAATAATTGTGCACTGTTGCATGCTAATGTTTCCATTTTGGCAGCATCTCCTGAATTTTGGAAATTTGTTGTGGTTCATTTCAGCTCTGGCCAGCATCCTGTAACTCTGGGCAGTGAGAAGCAGCTGTAATGGCATTGTCATGTTACTCTCAGTAAAGTGCAGTACCTCTCAGCACCTTATAAGGGATTTCACAAGAATAGCACTCAGCATCACATATACATGAATTAAACTATCAAAATATTTTAATAACTAGGGCTATCTGGATCAAGAATGTAACCCCATGGGATTTGCTGGACTTGTGTCCCATTTCCATTATCGTGAGCCTTCAAATTTTGTCCTGGTCAGCTTCCTTGTGAAGGGATTATTCCACAAATTGTGCCAGCCAGTTGAAGGTAAGTTAATTTCCTATACACTTAATTAAACTGCACTCATGTGGATGATTATGAATTTTAAGTGACATATAGTTTCCTTAGTACAAGTACAGAACATGTAGGAGAATGTTAATAATTACTGTATATTCATAAAGTTTCAAGAGTGGCACAGTTGCATTTTTCATTTCAGTGGGCACATCTACATTAGCTCCACAGTAAACATCTCCACATCTACATGTGTGCCCCTATTAGGGTGCACGAAACTAATAAGCTCATAAAAATAAAATAAATACAAGTACTATCCTGCTCTGGAGTATTTTTGTGCACAGCAGAGCATGTGTAGATCTGCCCCAGCTGGCTGGGCAACAAGGGTGCTTCAGTGCAGGGGCTGCCTGTCGACTAACTCCACACTGAAGCACCCTTGTGCCCTAGCCAGCCCCTCCACAGTGCGTTGAGCCCAGTGAGAGCAGCCCTGGGCTGCTGCCAGCCAGGCCTGTTCTGATCGGGCTCAATGTGCTGTGCATGAATAAACTCTAAAGCAATATACTCTGGAGTTTTTTGCTCCCAGGTACATGTTCAAATAGCATGCTCAGGAATGTTACAGAAAGAAGCCTATAAGGAAATTAATAAGTCTATTTTCAATGCATGGTTTGAATCATGCACAGCAATAAGACATAGGGCCACACGTTGAACAAGAGGAAAACAAAAGATTTAACTATCTGATCATTAAAGGAGCATTCTCCATGTGGGCACTGAATGAGGTAGGGGTCAGAAAAGATAGTACTGTATATGATAATGTAATTGAGGACTGTATTGTAATACATATGCAAAAGGGGTGGGGGGCGGGAATTGAGGTTGCTTATATGTTTCTGTCATTTCCTAAATATGGGTACTTTACTTAATCTTGGTTTTCTATTAATACAGAATTTTGTATATAATGATTGATTCTTTTATTTTACTGCTTATGGAGGCCTTTCATGCAGCAATAAAAAAGCATTTATTTAAAAACTGGATGATAGAAAAAGCATTAAAAAAAGCAGGTGTATAGAATCTGAAACTGCTTCTCTTTTTTAAACGACCAGCTTCAAGTTGGAAATGTATTTTAAATACTCCTCCTTTTCTTGTATTGCATACTTGATCAGTGTACTTCCTGTTTGAAATAGGTTCAACTGTTTTCTCTGAAGATGTGATGGAAACATTAGTGCTAGTATTAGCAAACCTATTTGGAAAAAGATGCCTACCAGCTTGTGCTATGAAATTTAGGAAAAATATTTGCCAGTCAAAGGTGAGAAACAACTCTCCTTTCTATTGTATGTATTGCAGTTCCACAAAAAGGTTCCAATTATAGTTCAAATTCCATTATTCTAAGTGCTGAACATGCCTGTAATGAAAAAATGGTCTCTGCCAGAAACTACTAATTATTACTACTAAAATGCATTAGTAATAGGACCCCATTATGTGAATAAGTACATTATTTACACTTATTAGAAAAATGACATGGCTGCTTACATAGTTCTTGTTAAGGTCCTGTTTAATTTTTTTAATTTAATAGTTTGTGGACAGTAGATCTTAAACATTGTTTCCTTTATCCCTATCCCAAGTTAAAAGGGCTTCCATCTTTCTCTTCTAAAGTGCAATCACCTAATGTTAGAATGTAGCTGGTAAAATGTAGAGAGGTTACATTGGGTTATCGGATGGCAGGCAGGGTATAATGTGCCATAAATCCAATGTCTATATTTAGTCCAGGAATATTACATAAGGAATTGCTGCAGTACAAAAAGAAAATCCCCACAAATCGCACTGGATGCTCTCCTGGGTGGAATAGAAGCCAATATGCAAAATGGAGGTCTGTGACAGTGCAAATGTCTGGTAGTGAAGTAGATCCTTTCAGTGTGCTTTGGGCTATAGGAAGTTTGCCCAAAATATGCTTCTGGTGATGAGGTTGGTGAGGTTCAGTGCTTGTTTAAAGACTAGGATGGGTGGTCCTAGAAAGCTCTTGAAGTAGAGGTGGATTAAGAATCACTGGGGCCCTGGGCAAACAGAAAATTGGAGGCCCCCCTCATCCCATTATAAACATGAAAGTATCAAAAAGCATTAATAAATAGACCTGTTAAATGTTTGCATGGTGCATTAATAAATAAAGCACAACATGCAATGTTGAAATTAACTACTTAATTTTGCTCCACGCAAAATTGTATAAAACAGCTGCCTTAGAATTACTCAGATGTATGGGATCGCCATAAATGCATAACAACATGAAAGGAATGATGTTTTAGTTTAATGGTCATGTAGACTATTGTGTGAGTTTTTTTCCCCTGAGAAAGATCATGTGTGTTCGAAAGCTTGTAAATAACAACTTTTTTTTTTTTTTTTTGCAACTATTTAGTTGGTCTAATTAAAGGTAGTGCCTCTACCCAAAAACTCCAGCTACAGGTCAACATTCCCCTCCCTCTACCTCTACCTCTTTCTCACCCATTGTCTGCCAGAATCTGCATTTTCTCAGGCATATTGCGTATTGGCTTCTGGGATAAGCCACCCTCAAAAAAGAATCAAACTGGCCAGGAGACATGCTCCATAGTCCTTGTAAGCTCAATACCTAGTAAATAGTCAGACTGGTAAAACCACCACTATAAGCTATCTTTTATTAGACCAACTAAAATAGTTGGAAAAAAATATTTTTTTCTAAGCTTTCAGGTACAAACACCCTTTTTCAGGCAAAGGGAGCATCTGCAGGTGTTTTGTACTCTTCCAAAATAATTTTTCAAACCATTTTAGTTGGTCTAATAAAAGATAGCTTATAGTGGTGGTTTTACCAGTCTGACTATTTACTAGGTATTGAGCTTACAAGGACTATGGAGCATGTCTCCTGGCCAGTTTGATTCTTTTTTGAGGGTGGCTTATCCCAGAAGCCAATACGCAATATGCCTGAGAAAATGCAGATTCTGGCAGACAATGGGTGAGAAAGAGGTAGAGCAATAAGGGCCGGGGTCAAGTTTGGGGATACTAAATATATTTTACTGTGGCTTGAGCCCCCACCCAGTCTACCTGGGAAACACTAAATGGATTACTAGGGTGTCCAATAAAACCAACAACCCTTTTCTCGCAAGCAGTGTAAACACAAAAATCAGATTTATTACAAAGCATAAAGAAAAGCAACAGTTATCACTAACTGTAATTTTAAAACACTGCAAACTACAAAACAAAGTCTGTAGGTGACACCCTCTGTAGGTGACTACCCACGCCCAGGTAGTCTGCAACTTGGGACTCCCCAATGGGTAATTCTGGGGGCCTACACCCCTATACCTTCCCTTCAGCAATGGGCTGGAAAGTGGGGCCCACGCCGGAGAGTCCAGGGAGCTGCTAGAAAGCATAGGTCCTTCTGCATTGCAAAGGGCCCCTTGTTGCTCCCTACAAAACCGTAGCACTGATCCTCACTTCTGCATGGTGGATTTGAGGGGTTAACTGCAGTTTTCATCAGCATATCACATCCCAAAGTTTTTAGTCCTAATCCCAGCTCTGCTGGGGCAGAAAACTGCAAGAGGACTCAGAGAAAAGGCAGCCAAACAGCAAAAGAGCCTGACCAGCAACAAGTGCCAACCTCAGTGCGTTGGTCAGGACACAGAGCCATGAAAGCAACATGTGCCAGGTCCAAAATGTGCCTGGCCCAGACATACAGCAAATACATGTACAGTGGAGCTCAGCAATGCAGCTATGCGGAGACACAACCACTGTGAAACAAAAGGGGGATTCAGGCCTGTCCTGCACCTGGTCCTGAACATACAACAAAAGAGTGCTAGGCCTACTGGGCTATGGTCTGGACATATATAGTCTCAGCCACACTGCTAGGCTGAGACCTAACAGCTAGGAAACAACAAAAGTGGGGCCAGGCCTATTTTGTCTTGGGCCTAAACTAGAACCAGCGCCCAACCACAGCGCTTGGTTGGGGCATAAATTGCAAATGGAACAAAAGTGCCCAGGCCTATTTCACTGGGCCTGGACTGGGCAGCAAAAAGCCCACTAGGCCTATATACCACTGAGGCCTGGATAAACAACAGAAAGTGCCAAGGCTTCACACTGGCCCAATTCTGCCAGCCAACATATGGCCCCACACCAGTGGGCTGAAATGCAATGGCTGTAAAATAGCAAAAAAGAGGGCCCCAGGCTCATGTCAGCCTGGACATGTAGTCTCAGCTATGCCACCACGCTGAGACACTACCATCCCCAACACTGTGACTGCCAGGATTCTGTCCCCTGGTCAGCCTTCATTAGGGAATGATACAGTCGTGGTATCATCCCACTCAAGGTCTGTGTGGCCAAAACAGCCAGCAAGACACATAGCTGGGGTTCAGCGACAACTATGCCTAACCCAAAAGAAGTTGCAACAGCAACTAACACATGCTAGGCTCTCAGCCCTGGCCCAGACCTCACCAGCAAAACTGCTAGGCTCCAACCCCGGCCAGTTTACTGCAGTGATTGATGCCCCCCTCTTCACGGCAACATCCCACTCAAAACCCAGAAAATGAAAGCAGAGTGAGAACAGAGGTCTCAGGCCCTGAGACAGACTTTTTCTCCCTGTAGCTGAGGCTTTCCTTCACATAGCTTCAGTTTGCTTCATCAGTGAAGAGCAAAGGGTGGGGAGTAACCCTTCCCCCATGGGAAGCAAGATTTTCTGGCTCACAAGTCAGCATTCAGGCTTCAGCAGGCCCAGAAGGTTGAAGAGAACCCAGACCAGGTGGCTTGACACTTAAATGCTGGGTTTTTGGTTCTGGCCATGTTGGTCTAAGGGCATGGGCAGGCAAGGTTCTTTGGGCAGATGTGGTATCTTTTATTAGAACAACTGAGTATTTGGAAAAAAGTTATTGGCAAGCTTTTGGGCGCAGTTGCCCTTTTTCAGGCATAGGGAATCTCTGCTAGTCTGAGACTCCAAGGAATGAGAGGAGCTAAAAATGTGACAGGATGTCAGCGAGAATGTAAATGGGTAGAAATTAGAAAGACAAATGTTGCTACATGCACCCCCATGCTTCCCCTAGCCTGGGGTACACACAGCAACAGGGCGCTGCCCCTCCTCCCCCCCCCCGGGCCAAGCCGCCTGCCTGGCCCTACCGCTGCTCCCTGATCCAGGCATGCACTGCGCTGGCTGGGGCTGGGCAGCACCACGGTTCCAGCCCCTGCTGCCCCGGCCCCAGCCCCAGCCCCTTCCTCACCATGGGGGCTTCAATTAGCCCCCACCCCTCATATAACTTATGGCCGTTATTCCTTGTTACTCTGGGAGGCGCTTGGAGGAACAAGGTCTTTCCCATTCCCTGCTGGCCCCCCCCCCCGCAGTAAGTTTATAGACGGCCACCAGGTCCCCCCCTCAGCCTTCTCTTGCGAAGGCTGAACAGGTTAAGGTCCCATAGCCTCTCCTGTTAGGGTCTGCCCTGCTGTTCCCGGATCATGTGAGTGGCCCTCTTTTGGACCCTCTCAATGCTGTCTACGTCCCTCCTGAAGTGTGGCGCCCAGAACTGGACCCAGTACTCCAACTGTGGCCTGACCAGTGTCACAAAGAGGGGGAGGATCACTTCTTTGGCCCTGCTCTACATCAAAGTGCAATACTATACTATACTAATTAACTATGCAGTAAACATCTTGGTGTCTACATGTATGGCCCTATTAGGCCTTAGGAAACTAATAAACTCCTCAGCAGGTTAGCACTTGTAAATATAAGTACTATCCTACTGTGAAGTTTTTTCATGTAGATGCTGACCTGCGTGGCTGAGGCACAAGGGTGCTTCAGTGTGGGGGCTGTCTGCTAGATAGCCCTGCACTGGAGCACCCTGGTGCCCAAGCCAGCCCCTCTGCAGCATGTTGAGCTGGGTCAGAGCAGTCCCGGGCTGGTAGGCTGATCCCCTGAGACCCCTACCAGCCAGGGCTGCTCCGACCTATCTCAATGTGTTGCAGTCCTGGATGTACATGTAAACGCAGAGTTTGGGAACAATCAACTCCGCTATGATCTGTGCCGGAGTTTATTTCTGTGCATTAATAAATATGTGTAGACATGGCCAGGAAGAGGAAAATTGACCTTTGTGATCCACACCTTCAGGGGTGTTCTTCAGTCCAAAACCTCTCTCCCCAGGCCACTGTTTGAATTTTTAGGTCAAGCTGAGATGTGCCAAAGGGCCAACTGCTTGGTCCAGGGTACCTTAGCTCCACTTCTTTCACAGAGTCCTTGCCAGCTCTAGCAGAGGAAATTCTGTGAGTTTAAAGTATGACACATATGTCCTGTTTGTGCAAGAAAATTACAGATCCTTGCTCATGTAGAAGTGACTGCCCTGTGTAGTCAAATACTCTGAAATCACATTAACCGGAGGCAAAAAATAAGGTATAAGAAAGAATTAAAAGATTACATAAATGAAAGAAATCTTAAGAATCAGTAACTGTGTATTGAGATAAGATTAAGAAAGAGATAAGAAACAAAGACTAAGAACTATGATTCTGTCTTTCCCTAGCTTGCTCTACTGCCTAGAATACAGCTGTTCCAGAGTCAAAGTTCCTGAAAGCAAACCTCTCATTTTGCAGTGCCCAGCCTTCTCCAGCTGAGGGGGACTAAGCCATACAAAGCTCATGGATCCTTACAAAATTTACTCCCAAAATGTTGTTCTAAGGTTCTCATTCTTATCTGCATACTTCTGTTGAATTCTTGGGGAGTATGTATTATGCATATAATTTCCTCCCTCAGATGTGTATCAGATTGATAGGTCATGCATTTTTCCTGATATTTATATCCTTTCAAACATTTAGGCTTAATCTACCATCCTTATCTATCAGTTCTCAAAGATAGTTTCTCACTTCTTCCGTGCAGTTTATAGATATCAATCCCCGACAAGGCAGTTGTCATTTGTAGGTCTTGCTATAGCCTCCCCCTTAGAACTGTACACCATCATTGTTTGTCTGAAGATGGGTCTGGGGTCATGTATGTACCATGCCTGACCATTTGGTTGGCTAATGTTCATAGTCATCTTGTAAGTGAACAGTCAACAACTGCTTTTCTTCAGCCAACTAGGCTATTGTTCCTCTTAAGTGGAAATAGCGTTTGTCAGTCTTGATGCCTAATACAAACCACTCAACTTGTTAATCTGACTCCCTTACAAAACAAAAAAATATACTTACATCAAATATCATGGTTCATACAAACATGAAAAATGGTAAAACTAAATGCAGCTTAACATTAGCTAGAAATAGAGACCAAATACATTAGTAAATTTACTTCATGAAAATATCTGTGCATAGCATCTCATGAGCATCCTAAAATACTCCTACTTTGGGGGTAAATTTGTGACAACTTCATAACAATCATTGCCAGCTCTTCCATGCAGACCATTCCCATTTAGCTAGGGGTAAACTCAGGTGTGAGAAAAATACAGAGCAGCTGCTCTAGCTTTCTAATCAATTTCTAATATCTCAGGATCCCCAAACCCCAACACAAGAGGGATTATTGAACAACTGTGACCAATGTCACAACCAAATTAAGTAGTGCCCATGTCACAAGCAAGTAAAACCATTCAAAACAGTTTTTTTCTGCAGTAGGTTAACTAAGGGTTAACAATAATGATAGTAACTGCTTTTTTGCTGCGCATGTCAAAAAGAAATGTATTGCTGCGCCACTAACAGAGATAGAACTTAGCCTTCTGTGCTGTACATAAATCATTATAATTGGTCAAAGAAAACAAGGAGTAACCCTATGATAACACCCTAGCGAAGACCACTAGATAATTGGCGATTCTAATTAAATATATGACGTGGCGAAAACCAATTGGCTATTACACAAATAAAACCCATCTTCACTTCTGTGAAGAAGGGGAGACCTCCGCACACGCAACCTGGAGACCTCTGAACGTATGTGTCAGAGTAACTGACAATTTGATCACTTGTCAGTTCCCCGCGTCTCGACCCAATCTCAGATGTAAATCAACGACCTGCCGGCCCAACCTTTTCTCTGTCCGACCACCGAACTCTTATGCAGACCGACCTACGACCTATAAGCTGTAACTAACCAAGTATCTATGACCTCTGTCTTTCACCACCTTGACGGCGTGAGTAAATAATCTTGCTTTGCAACCGATAAGTGTCCGCCTAATTAATTCCACTCCATGCGTCACAAGTACCCGCCTGACGGACCCTTAACTGCCCAGGTGGGAGTCAGGGAGAGCTGCTGGCCGGCTGCCCTGGGTCCCGACACCCAACACTCATCAGAGTGATAGGACAACTGTGGAGGGTCAGGTACTAGTATACGCAAGGTTGGAGTTCTCTGTGGATTCTTGGACTCTGTAAATTCAGTACCTAACACTTTTGCACCAGCCTGAATCCTCTTGTCAAATAGACAAGTTGAATTCTCTGTAAGTAAACACTAAAGAACAAAGGCATAGCTTTGGCACGTAGGGCATCACCGACTGCTGTGCTGCAGAGCAGACAGCTACCAGCTGCTTTCATACATTTTGTTCCATCAGCAGTCTCCACCCTAAGGCAATGCCCAGGACTTCTTCCCTGGTTATGCTCCCCACATACCCCCTCAGTTGTGCTACAAATAAAGAAATATTTATAGTAATTCCCTGACCACTGCCACTAGAAGCCCCACCCCTTGCCCTGGAAGTACTCCTTGGGGGAGGGGTGTCGTCTTGCAACTGGAAGTCCTACCCTGTCACATGGTCCATGACATAAGAAGGCCCACCCATCTGACACCAAACTTTGTCCCGTGTGCTGCCACATTGGTCTCAGAATCCCTTGCTCTCATCACATGGTCCATGACATCAGAAGGTTCACTCTGTGACTGGGAAATACTGCCCCTCCACAGGGCCTGCCCTCATGGAACATGGCCTGCCCCTGAGACCTCAGAAGTTCTCCCTTTAGGCCATGAGACACAGGCATGACCTATCAAGCAGTGAGGGGTTGTGACCCCTCTAACAACCTGCTTCATCATCCTCAACCAATCAGTGGGGGTTTCAGATCTCCCTGAAAAAGGTGCAAAACCAAGGGTGGAGGGTCACACACAACATTTTTCAGAAAAAATCATTTTAAGAAAATATAGATAAGAAAAAAATCATATGCTAAAAATCAAACATCTACTATTTTTAATTTTACTTCAGAAATATTTTGTCCTGATTTATGTGCATTTGAGTAGTGTATATAGAGGTGATTGCATAATAACTCAAAATAGTCTTACTCGTGTATATTGTGTATGTGTGGGAGGGGGTAAAGGGCTGTGGGGGAGGTTATGTGGGGGAGTAAGTGGTTGGGGGGTGGGTGGAGGAAGGGAGGGGCAGGGGGCCCGTGCAGCAGAGCTCACCCTGGTGGTGCAGGTGCAGTCCGCCCACCCACACCTCCAGCCCACAACTGCTCTCTGGTGTGTCGCATGGGGCTGGGAACCCCCCCTTCAATCCCATACAGGGCAGTCCACCTCATGCTCCCATCTACAACCGTGTTGTGCTCCTGCCCAGGCCCTGGGCGCACAGCTTCTTGGCAGGACTGTCTTCCACTTACTTGACTGCATGCAGGTGGCTGCTGATCATGCTGGGCAGGCAGAATGGGTGGAAGGCAGCTGGAAGCTAGTGCCATGTGCTGACCCAGGAGCCCCGGCTGCAGCTTCCCCCCAGGCCACTTGCCACCACGTACCCACCTTTCCCCTTTCCTTTCCCCCTACCACTTCCCTAGGAGCAGTGGAGAACCCCGTGCTTTTGCTGGCCACAACCATCACTCCTGCCTCGCATGGACAGAGGGGCTCAGGCATCCCTTGCCTTATCTGCCTGCCACTCCCATCCCCGCAGCAGGAGGCAGCCCCTCAGAGTGTTCATGGCCCACAGAAGGCACAGCCCACCAGCTGAGGCCTAGGAGTTGCATGTGCCGGCAGGGAGAGAGGCTAAGACAGCTGGGATCCATTGTGCGTGGCTTCTAGCATGCTGCCAGAGGACTCTGCTTGCTGTGGGCCACAAGCACCCTGAGGGGCCTCTGCCACTTTCCCTTTGTCTGCCCTCCCCTGCTCGCTGTCACTTCCTCAGCTCCCTCACTGAGCTCTTGGCTCCCAGCTGCAGTCTTCATCCCAGCCACCACTGCTTCCCTTCCCAATCTGCTGCCCAATGCACTGCAGTAGGGACAGGAGGAGCTGCTGCTCATGAGGAGGAGCAGCAGCACCTCCCAGAAGTTGTGTGCTGGCTGTAGCTGGGGCTGTGGCCAGGGCCAGGGCCTTCCAGCAGGTGAGGATGCCCCAAGCGAGAGCAGGTGGGGCTTGGCCCCATGTGGAGTACAGTGGGCCAGGCCATATACAATTAATTGGTGGGCATCTGCCTGCAGGCTGGATAGTGTCAGCTGGCCATATTTTATCCACCCCTGGCATAAAGCCTCTTCAGATATGCCAGGGTGACTTAGTTAAATCAATGCTTACTTAAATGTGCTGTATACTATTGCAGGTGTTTCTAGAAGATCTCCCAGAAGAGTTCGCTGCAGCTGCTGATGAATACAACAGCAAAGTAGAAAAAAATTTTGCTTGCTTTCTTCTAACAACTGCCAAGCTGACTGACAGAACAGGAATACAAACTTCCTTTGTCAAAGATAGGTAGGCACTGGGAACACACACACATTTTAGTCGCTAATTACTTGCTTATGCATATTATACATTAACCTGTTGTGCACACAATTCATATTGTGAATGCCTGATAAACTAGCTAATGGAAACAAGCAATTCATGTAATTTATAGTTTCACAGTTTGTAGGGTAGGAAGGGACCTGAGCAGATCATCAAGTCTGACCCCCTGCTATGGCAGGAAAGAGTCAAACGACCCTGGCAAGGTGTTCATCTAGCCTCCTCTTAAAGACCCCCAGGGCAGGAGCCAGCACCACTTCTCTTGGAAGTTGGTTCCAGATCCTAGCCACTGTGACAACGAAGTAGCGTCTCCTGATGCCTAGCCTGAATCTACCCTCTGCCAGCTTGTGACCGTTATTTCTTGTCATTCCTGGTAGTGCTCGGGGGAACAGGGACTCCCCCAGTGCCTGCTGGTCCCCCCTGTCTAGTTTGTAAATGGCCACTAGTTCCCCTGTCAGCCTTCTCTTGTGGAGGCTGAACAGGTTCAGGTCCCTTAGCCTCTCCTGTTAGGGCCTGCCCTGCTGCCCCGATCATGCGAGTGGCCCTCCTCTGGACCCTCTCCATGTTGTCCACATCCCTCCTGAAGTGCGACGCCCAGAACTGGATGCAGTATTCCAACTGCAGCCTGACCAGTGTCGCATAGAGGGGGAGGATCACCTCCTTGGATCTGCTTGAGCTGCGCCTGTGGATGCATGACAAGGTGTGGTTGGCCTTCCTGACTGCATCCCCACACTGTTGGCTCATGTTCATTTTGGCATCATCAATGACTCCAAGATCTATTTCTGCCTCTGCACTGACAAGAAGGGAGTTCCCCAGCCTGTAGGTATGCTGCTGGTTCTTCCTCCCCAGGTGTAGCACCTTGCACTTGTCAGTGTTGAAACCCATCCTATTCTCATCTGCCACCCCTGTAACCTGTCTAGGTCCAATTGCAGCCGAATTTAAGGCTTGTGAATTCAGCTATAATATTAAGTTCCACTTGTCTTTTCTTTTTTACATGACGTACAGTTCACTCTGTTTAAGTGTAGCTTCAAAACTGAAAAAATAGATACAGCAAAATATATAGTCTTTTTTGTGCTTATTCAAACTCCCATGTAAACAATGTTTTTTAAGTACACTGGGTTTTTGGTTGTAGCTGTGTTGGTCTAAGGACATAGGCAGACAAAGTTCTTTGGGTAGATGTGATATATTTTATTAGACCAACTGAGTAGCTGGAAAAAAGTTCTTTGCAAGCTTTTGGGCATAATCACCCTTCATCAGGCATACTGAGTCTCTGCTGTTCTGAGACTCCAAGGAATAAAAGAAACTAGAAGTCTGACAGGATGACATTGAGAATGTAAATAGGTGGAAATTAGGAAAACAAAAGGTAGAGCAGGGAAGGGAGGGGAGGAGTCAAAGGTAAGTAACTGGGCTGCGCTCTGGGTGGGCAGCAGTGGCATTGGGAGGGGGCTGCAGCCATTCCAAAATTTTCCATAGCCCTTCCCACCCCCCAGTGCCACCCACCCCAAGCCCCCCACCAGGAAGAGCTTGGCTCTGGCCCTCATCCACCCTGCCTCACACACAGATCTGGAGGCACATGGCCCCTGTGGCCTCCCAGGGTGTGTGCAGGGGCGGGAGCCACCCCCGCACTCCTGGATGAGCTGCTCGTGGCTTTGACCCACACCTTGCCCCAGGTGTGCAGCGCCTGCCCAAGCTCCAGCTCCTCTCACCATGGGTGTCTTGCTCTGCCTCCCCCACACCCCTTCCCTCCCAACAGGACCCAGCTGCTCTCTATGCTGCTGGGCTGTGTTCCTCACCGCCTTTGTGCTAGGCTGCAGCTGCACGTATGCTCAGGGCATTTATCTGTGGCATTTTTGACCACATCAACCAAAAAAAGGTGATTGCCGGACACAGTTAGCAGGGCTGGACACGGGCATGGGCAAACCAGGTGGCCGCCCAGGGCCCAGACAGAAAGTGGGCCCAAAAATGGTAAAAATAATTATCATCATCATCATCATCTCTGGTGAAGGGGGTCCCGAAGCTAAAAGTTTGCCTGGGGCCACCAGAAGCCTAGGTACGATGCTGGGTGTTAGCAACCCAAAAACTGACTAGCTCCCTTAGTTTCCGTTTATAGTCTTGAAAGTGAGAGAGCTGCAGTTTGTCTAGCTCAGTGATGGTGCTAGCCCCAGCTGGCAGCAGCAGCCTGCTGTCATCCCGCACGCAGATCTGGGGGCCCACATCCCCCTGGCTGTGCCAGACTCCTTCTTGGGGGTGCGGCCCCCAGATCTGCGTGCGGGAGGACAGCATGCTGTTGCTGCCGGCAAGTAATACTAGTTTTGCTTTGAAAAGTTTGAGGTGCATTTCACAAAACCCCCTCCATCTATCTCCTTGAAACTTGGCAGGCCTCATGCCCTCAAAAGGGGCTACCATCCCTGCAATTTTCATCCCAATCAGGTAAGAAATGACAAAGTTATAGACATTTTTTTGATTCCCCATTAAAGCTTATGGGCAAAACGGCATTGAAACAGCAAAGTTTCGACAAAATGAAACAGAACGCTGCTTAGAAACAGTGCAATGAAACACTATCCCTTTGAAATGGAGGTCGAAACAAAATGGTGCTGTTTCAGATAGCCCTAATTAGCAGCCACAAACTGACCAGCTCTGTTCAGCATTCAGGTCTTCTAATAGCAGCCCTTTGACAACTGCTTCATTCTATCTGGGACAGAGAGAGGGAGTACTACAAGTACTCCTCATTTAACATCATCCCAGTTAGCATTGTTTTATTATTACATCAGTGATCTATTGGAGAATATACTCGTTTAAAGTCGTGCAATGTTCAGTTATAACATCATTTGGTTGCTGCCTGCTAGTAGGTAGCTACTGTGACGTAATTGGATTCGCTTAACATAGTTTTATTTAGTTGCATTTTTCAAGAGTGTAACTACGAGGTTAAGCAAGGAGTAGCTGTATTAGTTATTATTAACATGCAGTTAACTGCAATACTGTTAGTTTACAAAGTAGACAGGGAGGCTGAAAGAGGATGTGCACTAACATGGTTTATGCACTTAACTAATATACTGATAGTCTGTGTATTTTACAGTGTAAACAGATAGGCAATGAATTGGGAATGAGGGTGTTATGAAGTTAAGCAAAAGATGTACTTTAGTAGTATGCAAGTGGACTACACCGTCTTGTAGATTATATTTAGTAAAATAGGATGGAATTAGCTGCTACACTTTCATGGTTTTGAATTGGGGGGGGCAGTCACCAAGATCCCTCATCAAACCAAAAATTAAAGGTATTTTTGTTGTGGTTAATTGATCAAATGGCACATAATTATTTTTATTCCACTCATTTTAATGCTTGTTTTAATTAGATTTTAAAACAAAAGAATATGATCACTCCAAGCTGGCCTCTCATTTGATGAGCAGCACAAAAAATGTAACTGCGGTCTTGCCTTTCATGTGTCTGTCTGGAATGACAGATCAGGATTTATTTGCTGCTGAATATGTTAACAAAGTAAATTAATTTTTTTGTAGAGTAATTCAAACCAGACTCCAGATATGGATTTTGTGGTGGTGGTGATACTTCTCTGGCTTCTTTGCTATAATTTAAACAGCAACCATAAAGACCTTTGAGGAAGGCCCCCATTTAGAGAGGGCTTTTTTAATTGAGGAGGATGTGGTATAGATAGGACAGCGTTACAGTTCACTAGCTCTCTAGTTGCCAAGAGTCATATGCTATGGACAACAGAACTTTAAAACTGTAGCTATCCCAGCCCATAGGTGGCTTACACTTAGTGCACAGCACAATGCTGCCCCAGGACATATATCATTCTATAACAAATGAAACCAAATGTCCAGATCCTAGCCCTCTGCAAACTAGCAACTTATAAAAATCTAGGCTTATCTACAAACTTCTCTAGCTTATTAGCATAAGAAATAATATGGGGATAACGGGTAGATAACTAGATTCCTTCCTATCCCAAATGATAAAAGATCTAGTAGGTAAAATTAATGCTGACTCTTCTGAGGAAGATTCTAGGGCAACCCAGAGCCAAGATGTTGTATAATGCCATGTACAAATATTCAGTTTCTCCTGGGAATGTCACTGTTACCCAGGAAAAACCACAGGTGTACAGATGTTCAGGATTTTTCTTCCAGAGCAAAAATGGCAGTTTGAAGAAAAAAAATAACTGGGGAACAACCAGGATTAAATCACTCCTAGGAGAATTCATGGGAAAACAAATGTGTGTACACAATCTAAGCTAGTCCAAGAATTTAAGGCCTTTTGGGACATCTGTAAATTATTTCAGATGCATGAGTTGCCAGGCCAAAACAAACTTCAAGTGCAAATAATCTTTTTCAGAGTTTATACAGATCATATTCATCTTATGTTTCCAGCTGGTCACAAGATTTCAGTAATGCAACTTGTCAGTGAGTCTAAAACTGAATAGTGCAACAAAATCTGTGTTCTGTCTTCTCAGGCTGTTTTACGTACAGTTGGTGTTAATATTGGAAATGCTCCTTTGCTTTGGTGGAAGAAGCATGATTATCAAGGAAGAAGAATGCCACTCAATGCTTATGTACTTGACTTCTATAAGCATGGCTCCTTGGCTGCTCTGGTAAAAGACAACTGGTATGCACTTTTAATTTCATTACTTTACTGTACTGTTGTTTATGGAAATGAGTTAGAACTTAAATATTTGCAATTCTACAGCCACAGAATTTGTAGTGCAGCACACTGTCACAAAATGATACACCATGTTCATTTCCCTTACTAAAAAAAAAATCTTTTTCTAGCCTTTATGGTCACAAATAAACTCCCATCTTAAACAGTCTGTACAGATGTGTTGATTTCTTATAGCTGCAGACAAATATCAGAGCAATATTAACTCAACAACAAAAAAATCTAATGATGGCAATTCAGGTCTCAAGTCTTGGCCAAAATAATCACCATCAGAATGGTTGACTTGCTACCCTATGATCCCAAACCACCTCTTGTTGCATCCCAAGCATTAAGGGCTGAAACTATCACTGGGTTGCCCTCTTTAGTCCAAGTTATATAGATATACATATCTCCAGCTTTTAGGGGTGTACCTAATAAAGATTTTTTTGGCAGATACTGATGGCCAATTATTACCCAGCCATATCAGTAGATAGCAATACAACATGCAGCCTGGCAGCCTAGCAAGCAGCATCTGGCCGGTCTGTGGAAGAGGGTGTAGGGGGTGATGGGGGCAGATCAAGGCCCCCATGGTGAGGGGGGGGTGGGCACGGGGCTAGGGTAGGTGCTACCCAGCAGGGGCAGGGGATGGAGCTGTGAGCAGCTTGTCCAGGGGGTGTGGGGCAGCTCCCCACTGCTGCACGCACCCCTGGGGAAGGCATGGGGATCATGTGCCTCCCAGATCTGTGTGTGGGGTGAGGGCGAGCTGCCTGCTGTGGACTTGGAGCCAGGAGCTGCACCAGCCTCTTCCAGAGGGGGAGCGGGGCTGGGCTGGGGCTGTGCTGGAAGGGCTACAGGGAATTTTGGGGCAGCTATAGCCCACCCCATAGCCACCCCTTCCAGTGACACTGCTGCCTACCCCATCCCCACTTGCCCCAAGCTCAGCCTCAGCTCAGCACCCCCCTGCTGGGAAGAGGCTGGCACAGCCCCTGGCCTCAAGCCTGCAATGCCAGTGCATAAATCCACAGGGCACATGACCCCCATGCCTCCTCTGGGGGCACACACAGAGGCAGGAAGCTGCCCCTGCTTCTTAGCCTGCTGGTGCCTCTTGGGTGTGCTGCACACCCTTTCCCAGATGGGCAGCACCAGCCCCTGCCCCACTCCCTCATCATTGGAGTCTCAATCCGTCCCCCCATGCCCCTTCCCCACCACAGACTTACTAGCTGGACGCTGCTCTCCAAGCTGCCAGGCTGCCTTCCTGGCTGTGCGCATGCTGCAGCTGCACCCAAGCATGTGGCATTTGTGTGTGGCATTATCTACTACACCGGCCAAAAAAGGTGATTGCCAATAATATATTTTTTTCAGCGCTGATCCGATATGGACCAATATATAGTTTGCATCTTTTAAAGCCATATGTCATTGTTTTTCCTTCACTCTCTGACCGGTCCCTTTTACCAGCTTTTCTGCTTCTGTCAGTATTTTCCAGGACTGTCCTTGGCTCTTTGCTTTTCACGTTGCTGGCAAATGTTATAAGCAAAGCAAAACCAGATAAAATTTCACAAATGCGTCTGTCCCACTGACCCGTCTCCTCCTATTTAAGCCCTATGCCATCAGCCTCTCTTGGATATGTGTGCGTCAACTTAAGCTTAACACAGTAAAACCAGGAATTTTTCTTTTTACCCTGCAAACTCATTCTCTCTCAGGCCCTCTATCCAGGGGTTAATTCTGAGTCTGTTAAACTACCAACTTGAACCACATCTAAATTATAAAGTGTTTCTCTGTTATTTTTCTTCTTATTTTAACAGACAGATCTCATATGAGGATCTGCTTCTTGGGTCTACTCCTTCAATATCAAATATACACGTTGCCCTCTTAGGTCCACACCATACAACTGCTAAAGCCAATTTCCTTGTCAATTTGATCACATCACTGTGCTTTAAATCATTTCACTGGCTCCCCTGCTGCTCTTGTCTGTACATCCAACTACTGTCTTCAGTAGAAAAAGTAGTGCCTTCTTTTCTGTGACTTATTACCAGGGATCCTGGTTTTCTCTGACAAAAAACAAATGCAAGTTCTCTGATAAAACCCCCAAAATTCGTTATTAAAATTAAAAGCCCCCTGCAACTCCCCTCTCCCCGCAGTCCTGCTTGTGCCCCTCACTCATCCCCAAAGCCATCCCAAACCTGCTGGTGCCCCTCCTTGCCACAACAGCCCTCCACCCTACTTGTGCCTCTTGCCCCCACCCAGAGGCCTGCCGGAGGGTGCTCCCAGCTGCCAGGGCTATGGGGTCAGGGACCCAAGTCTGCAGCTCCTTGCCCCCAACAGCAGGCAGCTTCAGCAGAAGCAGCATGAAGCCAGCTCCCCCACTGCTCTGCCTGCTCGGGTGGGGCCGGGACTGGCTCTCTCCAGCCGTGACACGCAACCCTCCAGCCCTTCCAGAGGGGTCCCCAGCCCCCTGCAAGCCCCATTTACCTTAGGCTCCAGGAGCGAAGAGTGAAGCTGAGCGGAGTAGAGCTGTGACTGAGAGCCTCAGGCACTTCCCCTCCCCACTCTGGGTAGGGCTGGGGTTTCCCATCCTGTTTGCAAACAGTTCTTGCAGCCTGGAGCTCAACTAGATTGCAGAGCTGTTTGCAAAAGCAGGGAATCTGTGGGTTTCTCTGCTAAAAGGAGAAATCCATGTTCTCTGATAAAAAGGGGAAATCTGTAGTTTTCTGTGGGAAATGGAAAACCAGGATCTCTGCTTATTACTAGGCACTTCTACTCATGCTCTCAGCTTATTTAGGTACATTTTTCCCCATACAGTCTGACCTCACTTACAGTCCCTAACTGCTCATACTTCTCTTAGAAGAAAAATGTCCTCCTTCCTGCTACTCTCAGTGAATCGTTAAAACTTGCATAAAAAATTCTGTATTTTTCCCTTCCCACTAACTTGTGCATATTTGTCTGTCTGCCCTTTAGTTGTGGACTTGTAAGGCTGTTCTTTTTTGAATTATTAGGGATCTATACATGAGCAGACTTGATTAATCAAGTCTTCTGGAACGTGGTAATTCTCATGCTCCAGCACTTCATGTGTGTGTCCCCACACTTCAAAATGGTGGTGGGGGGTGCTTTATCTAAAGCTTGTTTGACAGCTCTCAGAGCTGCTCTAATTAAAGTGCCCTTTCACCCCGCCCCCCATACACACTCCCAGAGCATGCATATAAACACCCTTAAGAACCTAGGATTTTGTAAGCACTGTCATAAACAATTATTTTCTATACAAAATTCTGAAGCATGATGTCAAATATATATATTTTTAATTTTACAATAATTACACTATTTCTCACCCTGTTTCATACTTTAACTTAAAAACAGGAACTGCTTAAAAATGGGCAGACCCGTACACTAACTGGAGGAACTTTCTGAAGAAATTATGGCATTATCCACAGGCAAATGAACTAAGTTTTGAGTTTTTCCTGTTCCTATTAACTCAACAGCTTAGTCTACAGTCTATTCTCCATTATAGTCTGTCATGCAGAACTAAAGCAACTGGTCTCAAGAGCCGAAGTTCACAAATGCATTGCTTCCCCCCCCAAAAATACATTTTCACAGTGACAGCTTTGAATGTTTTAATAGGTTTAGAATAATTCTATAAGCATGTGTCTTACCCACCTGTATAGCAAAACACACTTCTAGATCCCAGTTTACAGCACTGAAATATTTCCTCATGCTGATCTTGCAGAACTGGTAGGTTGCTCATTGGACAGCTGTTACTCAGAAGTTTGCCTAGATCAGAGTGGCCCTCAGAGAGGGTACAGGGCTAACTTGTGTCATGCCTGCCAAAAAAATTTGCCCGCCTTGGCCTAGAAGGTTGGGGTTATTAAAAAAGGGATAAATAAGAGTGGTGTAATGAGTGTCCACTTAAACCTTCTCTAATGCTGGAATATTTTTCTTAGGTTAAGTGAAGGAGGTGCTTACAAACTGCTCAAAAGATCTTTTGCTTCTCATTAAAGATATCAGGTATGATATATACTTTTATATCCTTAAATTAATTTTGTTTGGACCTTTTAAATCAATTTAAAAGAAACAACATTTTTTTCTCTTTTTTATAATCACCAGAGTATCACTAGGTGAACTGTGTGACAACCCAGATGACAAAGTTGTACTGGCATTTCAACAACTGAGCGAGAGTTTTGAGGCAAAACTGAATAAAGTTTAAGTGTCAAAAGACTGGCATATATTGTGAAGAAAATGATACCCTGGAAGGCACTAACAGCATATCATGTTAATACATGGCTAGAAGATGAAAATTTAAAAATTCTGAAACATGTATTATAATAGTTGTAATATATAGGATTTTACTTATATATAAAAAAAAAAAAACAACCTGTTTTTATTTCTGTAAGAAAATGTTAATGTTTGCATTAGACTTGATGTTTAGAAAATGCCCTAAAGTTACTCCAGTATATTTATGATTGCTTATAGTTATGAGGTTTTCTATTTTTCAAATTAAGAAGCTTGCTTTGGCTACCAAGTTTTCTGGAACATCCCAACGCAGCTAAAAAAAGACAGGAAGAAGTAAGTTTCCATTGTACTTGGGAATTTTTCAGGGCAGCTACTTCCACTTGCAGTCATTAGAGCCTCCCAAGTCCCAGGAACCACAGTGGGGGCACTTGCATGGTATATCTTCATAAGGGAGAACTACACCCTGTAACAAAATAAACTGTACAGAATGGCTAGTGCTGTATGTCAGCAAGTAGACATTGGATTTGTCTACACGTGCTTAGAAAAGGTTGCAGGAATCTGAAGTGGTTCAGACCCCTGTGGAAACTCTTTAGTCAGGTTAGAATCTTGCTAAACATATTCAGGAATATATAAACAAGAGTTTATATCTTTCTAAACAGTTTGTTAACTGAACTCTGTTACACCTATATTTAAAACTGCATTTTCTTCTACCTGATCTTATATTTTATGTAGCCATTTAGATTGGCCCTGGTAGGGTCTTACAAGCTGTTGGTCAAAGGGCAACTTTACAAAAGATATTTAAAGCCATTCCTTAGGAATACTGACAGTTAACACAAAACAAAGGAGCTGTGCCTCATTCCAACTACATCTTACTTGGTGGCAGTTGCATGCAGACAACTGGATTCACCTTCTTCGCTTGGTTCTAATTAGAGACATTATAGACAGGAAGCAGGGTGTAAAGAGTGATGAACAGGAAATAGTGACACTCCTGCAAGTAGACTTCCTGTGCTTGAAGCAAGCAGCACTTGGCCACTTGTGTGATTTTCAAAACACTGGGACAGGCTCAGTAGGCCCCAATAGTCAGCAGAGCTTCTGAGGGCTGAACACAGGCTTCAAAGCAGATGGGCAGAGTGTACGGGTTTAAGAGCAGATCTAAGGTTGCCCTTAAGTAGCAGCATAAAAATAATCAGAGATTACTTTATGAGAACACCTGATGTTAACTAAATAAAACTCCTTTATCTCGCACTAACATTACTGCACTTGCAAGTTTCTGTTACTGTTTTTGTATATGACTATTTTCATAGTATACATACACACACACACACACGTCTAGGGGTGCTCAACCCTCTTGGCCTGCGGGCCAGATCCAGTCCAGAGAGCCACGTAATTCAGCTTGTAGATTTCCTCATGGGTTCAGAAATTTTGCAGTGGGAGAATGGTGACAATTCCAAGACCTACACGGCTGGATCAGCCCTGGTGAGCCAGCCCCATGTGGAGGGGAATCAGGCCCCATTCCTGCATGGGCAGATCTAACTGGGACATGATGCAGCCATGTGGAAATGGCTCCAGCCGAAACCTGTTCCTGTGCAGCTGCACCACTCAGGCCAGTACTGAGCGTCAGATCAGGCCCACAGACAGACATGATACTGCTCAGACAGCCCATGGACTAAAATGGTGGGTGCACCACTCTACTAGTCATATCTTTAAAACTAAAAGAAGAGACTTGTGGGACCCAAGAAGTCCTGGCAACAGCATTCAAATGACCAATTTAAGTTACAAAACAAACTACTTCTGGTATTTAATATTTTAGTGGTGGTATATAAAGCCAACTCATACTATAAGTTAACTACCGAGTGACAGTAACGTAGGCTGCTAGAAGTTATTTCTACATATTCTGTTGGATTTAAACACAGTCTAAAATTATAATTAAGAACATTTCAAAATTCCGTCTTTTGGCAGCAGCTGCTAGTGTTTAAGTACATTGATGAAGAGTGAAAATAGCATTACATTAAAATTAAGTACAGCAAGCCAGCTCAATAATATGATTTAACTCAACCCACTTCATAGTTCTTTCTTCTTCCCTGTACCAATTTTATGACGATCTAACCCATGGCTCTCAGATTTAAAATAACCAAAGAAGGAAAGGGTTGTAAGTAAACTGCTTGGGGAATGAAATGAAACTAATTCAGAACTGGCAACTGGTTCTGATCATTCAGTATTTCTCAAAACTGTCATTCATTGTAGAGACTGTTCCCAACTTCCCACAACAGGAAAGGAGTCACATGAAAAGAAGTAATCATTGCAGCAGCCTAAAAGGGGCATACAGAGTCAAAATATACTTAAAATTAAGTAGAGGAAATAAGAGGCTACCCAAAAAAGAAAAGTTAAGGAAGAGCACAGCAACTATACAAGTGCTTTTAGGATGTGTGACCCCTCGCCTATCTTACTTTTCATTAATATAGAACACAGACCAAATCTTTGATAGGCTGAAGACGCTTGCTGTACCACAGATCAAGATCTGGTCAATATAAATTATAAACATAAAGTGACACTACCCGTGTTTCTATAGAAATTACAGGAGTTTCTTGAATCTAGTTATGTATGAAACTACAGGTGAAGATAACTGTTTTATAAATAAACATACTGTATTTTCACACTTACCATATGTCCCCAAATAAATCACACACCTTGTTTTTGGGAAGGCAAACAAGGAAAAAAAAGATTTTTCTAAAGTTACAGCTGCAGAGAATAGGGACAGAGTCTAATCATCAGCTGACTCACCTACCCTTAATGAAAAACTGAAACCCTAGCTGCTTCCGCAGATGGGTTCATGGATGGATCTACAATTTTGAAGAGAGTTAAAAATAGTTTACAAGGCTGTGAAATGGAAGAGATGAAGAACAGCTAAAAAACGGAAATCCCCCCCCCCCCCAATTTTGGGGGCTGATTTTTGCAGGAAGAGAGGTATGTGTACTACGTGAATAAATATTATATCTATTAAGAGGTTTAATTTGGTACAGATGATACACGGCAAAGCAGCTAAACATTCATGTTTTTAAAAAATAGTGAGAACAATACTAATATTCTACCTTTAACAATGCCTTAATTTTTTCTTCCTCCTAAAAGGCTGATAAAGATCATCTGGTTAACTTGAGAAATTTAAATTATTTCTGATAATTTAGTGTCACTTTACTGTTACTTTCAGTAAAATAATTATCGTGATTACTCTTATTTTTGTAAATAAACAATTTACACAAAGACACCACCATACTGTCACCTAAGACTACAATTCTCTACATAGGAAAACAATATATTAAAAATAATCAAACCTGGGTTATTCACCTTTTATTTTATTTTATTCACATGCTATATTCTATCCTGATTTTGAAAGGGGCAAATTGGTGGTTTTAAAACAACCAGTGATTACAAGTATGTCATTATAGCTATCTAAATAAATGGAGAATCACGTACCATATATAGCACGGTTTAGCAAAATGTCAAATACAAAACCAAAAGGTACTTGTCTTAGATTATTTTTTCCAAACACTTTATTTAGGTTTCTGAATAAACTGCTTTGGCCATCATATTCTCTCCTGTGAAGAAAGACATGCAAAGCATATTTTATTTTCTTTATTTTACTTGTTATTCATCTTACAAATTTTCCTGCTATGAGTATTTATGTCTAAGACAAGTTGGATCCAATTGAATGTAGTTCTTTAAATTACAAGGCTAGCATTCTGATTTCCGGAGCTCTCTGAAATAGAGACCTCATTCAACTCCCTGTGTAACTTAAGACCTGCTCCTTCCATATACTCATATATCTTCTCGTTCCATACTTACTCCTCAGCCTTTGGCAATTTCATTTTGTTAAGTCTGCAGTTTTCGATGAACTCTGTGACAAACAGACTGCAAAATCAACAGATGAATACATAAAGCAAAGCCAGCAGGTGGTGTGACTGCTACTAGTCGTTCCCCATCAAAAATATCACAGAATTAGAAAGTGATTCAGAGAAGAGTGATTAAGGGTAAGAATGGAAGAAGTGATGAGAAAAGTGGGTTTTGTTTACTTCGAGTATATGATGAATGGGAAGAAACATGATAGAAATATGCAAAATAGCATAGAAACAGTAGTCTGGGAATTTCTATGGTCTTAGAACATAAGACAAAAATTCTAGTTCTAAATTGATCATCTTTCAAACTCAGTAATAATACTTTTTCCACATAATACCCAATTAGGTCAGAGGCCAAGAATTCTGCATGATTCAAAAAGGGAACAGACACAGACAACAAGAATATCTAGAGTTTATTTATGCAATTTATATGCTGTCCTTCCCAGCAAATGCTCAGGACAGCTTACCTGAACTGTTTTGACAGGATAGGTTTCAAGACTTAAGTTAGCCGTTAGGTATTAAACTACATCTTCCCACAACAACGTTCTTAATCTTTCCTTTGAAGTACTGGGTATAGGCCTTACTTGATACCGTGTACTTTGCCAAGTAGATCTCTGATTTGACCCAATATAGAAGCTTCCAGGTTCCCATAGTTAATAATCTTTTGGAGGTGGCATATAGATTTAGGTAAGTTTTATCCCCAGCCAGTGTCATATTAACACTAGCTACAAATTCACTAGATTACTCTAGCTGCAGTAGGTAATTTGACAACAGTTAAAACCACTCTCTCCAGACATATTGACATGGTATGTAGATCAAACACTCCACATGGAGTATCTACAGTAGTTCCTATGGATTTAGGATTGCATTTCATAAGAGTGTAGTAGATATCTTCACCAGTATATACCAAAATGTGAGAATTATGTTAAAAGATTAATTCAGATGCATTATGGTTGAAAGGCTTGAGAGAAATCAAAATGGTCTTTTTATTACTGCAGTAAAAGAAAGTGATCTACTTCAAGTTTTTATCTACAACTTAAGCTAAATATAGCATGGAGAAACCACAGTCAGAACAATCCATATCTCTACTGCTTTTACAAGATTCCAGCTTCAAGTACAGATAATGCCTCCTAAGAGTATCAAGTCTTCATTGGGAATGAATTATATATTTAAACACAGGAAGACTTTCTTCAAGGTTAACATTCAGTAGTGTTAGATCATACCCTGAAAACAATATCCCTACTAATAATTTCACTTGAATTTATTAGGTAATATGGCATTTGTGTCTTTAGTATAGACCCTCATTTCCCCATAAGATTAATGGAGAAAAGAAGCACTAAAAACCCTTATGTTATCCCATTTTTAACTGGCTATGCATCTTAGCAGCAGTACTTCCTTAATACCAACAGGTACCTAAATATCATTTACCTTGAAGGAAAGTCTCTTGTACTTTATTCTCTGTTGCACATGCCTGACTTTCTACTAGCAGATATTTTGTCTTCAGCAACAGAAAAATATTCTGATGCACTGCTACAGTCACTGGAGATGGATGCTTGACTTAGTTCTTCTGTATCGGAGAATGCATCATTTGGTGCTTCACCTCCCTTTTCTACTGCAAGCGGAGCCGTGATAGGGGCAAGGTGAGCAGTATTCTGAAGCAGCAGAGTTTCAAGTTCATCCTTCTTCTTAGAAAACTCTCCTAAATCTTGGTGTGACTTACATTTATTAGCAACAACTACACTGCTGTCATCTGCAACCTTCAGCTCCATTTGTGACTGTGTTGCTGCAGCCCCTGGAATGGAACAGGTCTTGCCTCCTTTAACAGAAAGGTCTGTTGTAAACAAAGGGTTAACTGTAGGAGAACTACACAGAGCATTTTGCTGAGCAACTGCTTCTTCAGTCTTCACAGATATGTCCAAAGAAAAAAATGTACCGCTACCTTTTGGACTAAGTTCAGAAACGGCCAATTTACATACTGGAGGCATAGGTGCTTCTTCATCAGGACATGTTTTGTCAGATCCGAGTTTAATTTTTTCGCTTTCATCTTTATTCTTATGAGATAAAAACAACATTGAGGAGGAAGCTACTGAATCTGGACTACTTTTGACAGTGCTTCCAAATGTAAAGAGAGGTGAAGATTTACATTCCAGGGGACAGTTATTTGAGAAGGAAAATATATCATCACCAAAGGGAGGGGGAGTCTTGAAACCATCATTCTTCCCTCTGGCAACACTGGATGTTATACAAGTTGTGGTAACTTCTGGAGTATTAAAAGTAGTCTGTTCCCATGAAAATAATGTTGGTGATTTTAGCCACTTAGGTTCTACAGTTTTGTTTGCAGAACTGTTGTTCTCTGTACCTGTCTGAAGTATTGTACTTTGTTCAGCTGGCTTCTCATTAAGGCATGAAGAAAATGGTGAAGCCTTTGATGAACTGCTGAGTTTAGATACTGTAAAAAAGTCTTCTGAGTTGCCAAAGGTAAATGAAAAAAATGGCTTTCCATCGTCAGCTGATCCTAGGTTATGACTGGCAGAAGTAGCAGAATCTTTAGCCTTGGTTAAACTTAGCTTTGTATCCTTATTTCCTTCTTGATTATCCATTTTAACTTGGGTATTACAGTTTCCCAAATAAAAAGTAGGGAAGGGAAAGCTGATGCGATATTTGCCTTTTGGAAGGACACTGTAGCTACAGCCTTATTGAACTTGGGTAGCGAGTCATCACCTGAACCACGGACAAAAGATGAAAGTGGAAGTCTTTCAGTTGAATTTGAAGTTGTGTCAGATGCTGTTGCTAACTGCGGTAAACTAGGTGCAGTACTGAAACATGTTTGCTTTTCAGATGATTGAGGCACTTGTACTTTGTCTCTAGCTACTGAGCTCTTTGATTCATCTGATGGTGGAGGGTGTTTGCTCACTTCTTGAGATCCTGTCCCATTAAGTAACTTCAAGTCACTGCTTACTACAGGGAAATCCCTGTTCATAGGTGGAATGCTGAATCCTTGACTACAGGACTTGGAAACACTGGTATTATCAAAAGCTTTTTCTCTTTCTAATTTTTCTGTTTTCATTATTTCCATATCTTTCACTTTTGCAGATGAACAAAAGTGAGAAACTGATGATGATGCACTCTTCAAAGAGCCAATCACAAACTTATGCTTTTTATTTATGTGTGCAGTAGGCATCTTAACCTGATCTGATGTTTTCCGATGGCCCATATAATATTTATAACGTAGTTCCTACAATTATAGAAAAGAATAAAAACAGTCAGCTAAGACTACTAAGTCTTTAAATAATGTGTCACGGCTATTTTTTAATTTATTGTGTTTATATACTCTGACACTTTTGAGAAGGACAGGATTACTTTCAGCATCTTAAGCATTTTGATGGTAGTGTATGGAGGGCAATAGAAAGTAAATGTATGCTTAGAAGACATCTATATTTCTAACAGTCTAATATCTAAGTTACCTAAATAAAGATCAATAGGGTCCTCAGCAACTAAGTTAAATACTTGACTATGAGACTACATACAAATATGCTGACCAGAAGCTGAAGTACTAACTAGTTCTGATTTTGGCAATAAATTTCAAATAGAAGCTCTGGCATTTTGAAATCTAAAATACTTGTGAATGAAAAACTTGATTCCAATCTACTGTTATTTGGTGCTACAAACTATTTTTAAAGTTATGTTTTACTTGATAAAAAACCTTTTTATAACAAGAATCCATAGAAAAGTTTCCCTAGAATGGATGTATGGGTGCAATTAAAATATTGGTAGATAGAATTAGATGAACTATTCGAGCTAACTTTGGCAAACACTGAAAGGAGCACTTCAGAAATTAACAAGGTGTACAATCAAAACTGCATACAGAAGACTCATTTGATCAATCATGCAACCAGTGGGCATGTTGGCTTGGTTTGAAGACTAAGGGGACCTTTATACATGCCGGACGCCTGCTAATTAGCATGTGCCAGAGCAGACTTGATTAATCAAATCTGCTGGGACCATGCCAGTTACTACACTCCAACTTAGTATCACATGTATTCAGTGTTCCCGTGCTTCAAAATGGCAGTGGGGCACTTTAACTAAAGCTTGCTGAACAAGTTTTAGTTGAAGTGTTCCCACCGCCATTTTGAAGCATGGGACACTAATACGAGACACTGTGGATGCTCTACCTAGAGCAGCTCCTGAGAGCCGGATCCCAGGCCATGTGTAAAGATGCCCAAAGTGGCTAATCCTATTTTACTTTATATGCATGACAGTTACCCTGACAGATAAGAGACATTTTTAGCATTTACACGCAGTTTATACCACTATTCAAGGTGATGCGTGAATAAGCAAGCGTCCAAATTGCTGTTAAGCATGCTCAGTAGGGCTGCGTTCTGGCCAGGAACAGATGTGGTGCCATTCACTTGCCCAGGTATAACATGTAACCCTAGGCAAGTCCCAGTATTGTAGCTAAGTAAATGCCCATGACTAGCGGGACAGTTGTGGGCAGGAGTAAGAAAGGGGAGGAGGGCAGGAGAAGGCTGGGAATACCCAGGAGTCACAAGTTCTAGGGCCTCTTTGTTCAGAGAGAGGATCTGAACCTGCATCTCCTGCTTCCTGGCTCTGATCAGTAGGCCACAGGTTAGACATTATCCAGTCCCTCTTCACACCTCTCCCTGGAGCTCAAATCATATGTGCTACTTTACTGACTAAAATAAAGTTACCGCTTTACATACCTTTGATAAGCAGCTTTAGGGAAGAACTGGTTTTATTCTGGCATACACACTGCCAATAAAATGTCAACCAATTTTAAAAGGACGGATTTAGATGCACCTTGATTCAGAGACTAAAATAGGGTTTCTGGAAAATGCCCTTCTACTTGCATACTGGACAGATTTCATCTAGCAGTCATTAAGGGACAAACCCCACCTTTCAGATCATATCTACATTTAGGTTCACTCATTCTGCAAGCCAAAGTAGATAGCTTAGAAGTATGAGGTTAAGCAGGGATATATTAATATCCACAATATAAATTCTTTATTAGGTAGGAATTTAAGGTGAATAAAACCTTTAGTAATAAGGAACAGAAGAGGCAGTATCTCTTGCCAAATGAACAACAAAATTGGAAGACATTTTTCCATGCACCACAGGGAACAGTTAGGCAAAACTTTTTTGAATCAGCCAAAATTCAGTGCAGCTGATGAAACTGAGTAAAACCAAGAGAAAGCCTTTCAAAAAACTACAGTCAGAAGAAACTGGGTCTTGGCATACTGCGTATACCTGACCTACTGTACAAGTGATGCAATGATCCCATCCCATCACTGGAACCAGTGGTTTAAAAATCTGTAGCTTGAGTTACAACCTTGATTACACATAAAGTGACAGACATCAAAAAAAGAACGCTCTACCCAGTAACTTTATCTTTTTAAAGAAGTGTTTCTGGAGACAGAGGTCTGAATATATTAAAAGGTAATACATTCACCCTGCCATATGAACATGGCTTTCTTTCCTAAGTTGAGATTATTTGACTGTGAAAATTGGACAAAAAAATTGTACTACCCTCTTGATTAAGCCATTTGATTTTACTAGTGAGCAACTGTAATGTGCAGTGGACTGAAGTACAACAGATCCCTGATATTTCAAAGAGCAGCTGAACAGACTGATTAGGTGATCGATTAACCAAGAACAAAAGTAGTGGAGCTTGTTTCACATTCCAGGAAAAGGCTGTGGAATGGACACAGAACACATCTGAACCAGTGTGCTTAATAGCCCAGGAATTGATATCTGAGCAGTATATTCTTACCTCAGGACTCATATTTTGAAATGCCAACATTCCTGATATTGACATCAAGCGAGTACAGATCCCACCGCCATCAGTGAATGTTTCCTCTTGTCCTGCTACAGGCTGTAAAAAAGTTTTACCACAGACACAGCACATTTTAACATCAAGGCCAAAACACAGCAAGACTTTTAAAATTAAAGTATGTTGTAAATCTTGTACACAAGAACTTACATAAAATGTCTTGTGTATGGTTTTCTGGTCTTTCCAATGTTTTACACTATTTTTAAATACAAAATTCCCAGGTAAGCTTTCATTTCCTCCAGAAGGAAGATCAGCTAGGAGTAGAAAAAAATAAGACCAATTAAAAAAAAAATATACAGTACCATACATAAAGCCCACTTGTGCTAATTTTTCATTACACAACTGTCAAAGTAAGACAATTAAAATAACTTTCCTTTTTCAGCATGAAAGGAAGTACTGTTTTAGTATGAAATATCTCATATAGTGCTGCAAGATAATAAAATACGCACTATAGAAAAGTAATGCAGTTAATGAGAATACCTTTAACAATGCAGTGTTCAACTGGAGTTAGCTGCAAGGCCAGTATTTCCTTAACTACAGATTTAATATCCATTTGCTTCTGGGTATACTCTGGTTCTTTTTCATAGCTAGATGCTATGTGCATCAGGTCAAGCTGAGTCTTCATTCTGGAAAATAAATTAAAATATCCTTTAAACAACTGTCCCCTTTCTTAATGTCTAGAAGCAAAAAGCAAAAAAGTTCATACGAGCTTAATATAAAATCAATATGAAGCAGTCTGTAGATGGAAAGCAAATCCTGAATTTCTTTTTTAAAAATATACACTGGAAGAACTGCTGAATAAATCAATGAGAAGATCTTAATTTAGAATTTAGATTTTCCTATAGAAAAGGACCCGGAGGTTACAGTGGACAAAAAGCTGAATATGATCCAACAGTGTGCCCTTGTTGCAAAGACGGCTAACAGCATACTAGGCTGCATTAGTAGGAGAGTTGCCAGCAAATTGAGGGAGGTGATTATTTCTCTCTATTCAGCACTAGTGAGGCCATAACTGAAGTACTGTGTCCAGTTTTGGGCCCCCACTACATAAAGGATATGGACAAATTGGAAAGTCCAGTAGAGGGCAGTGAAATTGGCTAGGGGGCACACTTGTGGGGAGAGGCTGACAGAACTGGGTTTATTTAGTCTGGGTAAGAGAAGACTGTGGGGAGATTTAATAGCACCCTTCTGTGCGGGCCGGGCGCGACCCAGGCCCTTTTTCGTGCTCTGCGCGGGCTGTGGCCAGCAGCCCGGGCACGCAGGGTCGGAGAGGGCGCGCGTCAAGCTAGAATTAGGCACGGACTCGTAGCGGTAGATTTAAAGATTGTTTACTTACACCGAAGATGGTCGCGGTGCAGGCAGGAAAACTTGCTTGAGTTGCGGTTACAGACAAAAACAACACGAACGGTCACGTGGAGTTTGCTAGGCTCCACGGAAACAGAGCTCCGGATGCCCTGGACAAGCGCGCCACCGAAATGGAACTTCGTAGATACGTCTTATAAAATTATCGCTCGAAGATGGGAAGAGGTGGGCAATGGATCAGGTCGCCAAACTCCTCTGAATCTCACACAGGGTCTCTTAGCCGCCACGTGGGAATAATTTCAAACTAGCCAATAGCGGGGAACAAATTTGCATGCAGGTGGCGGGAACTCCTTTGCACCGTGCATTTCTCTTGCAGCTTGAGCAATGCACTCTGCAAAGGAAGCTGCAAATAG